CGTGAGGAGCTCGAGCGGCGGGAGTCCTCGGATGCGTTGCACCTGCTGCTGTGCTTCCTGCAGCACGCCAGGTGCGATACATTGGAAAGAGCGGTGGGGGTGGCGGTATGCTTGTGTGTTTACGGGGGGGGGGCCAGGGAAGCGGTGGTAGCGGCAACTGGCGGTGATGGCGATGACAGTGGTGTGGTCTCGGAGCTGGGTCCATTGGAGGGGCTTGGGCTGTGTGTTTTAGTGACATGCAGACGTACAGGTCAGGGAGTGGCAGCAGATGCTGGCGGCAGGTGGGAGGTTTTCCGTGGGGAGGTTTCGTAGGGGCGCTGTTTCTGGAGAGGAGTCGCGTGGGCGGTTTTACCCGGGGGATGGCAGAGTGTGGGGAAGCCACGGGGAGTTGTACCCCTTAATCGTGCCGTACTGCCTCATGTCCCTTCAGAGAGCATAAGGCCCGGCAGATGGCCGAGCTCCGGCAGCAGTTGGACTGTTTGGATCACGACATCCTGGCGGTGGCGGCCTCCGGGACCCCGGCTGCGGCGGCGGCCCCCGTCACCGCCGCCGATGTGGCCGCGGCCGCTGCACACGCTGCTGCTGGCGAGGGCGGCGGCGGCAATGGCGACTGTGGTGATGCAGGTGAAGCAGCTGCCCGGGATGAGGCTGAGGCACTGGCGAGGGATGCTACTGCTGCAGCGGCCTCCCGCCGATCCCATCCCCACCAGCGACCCCTCCAAACCGGGACCTCCTGGACATCATGGCTCCACCGCGCCCTCCCGCATCTGGACACGGGGGATGGCGGCACCGCCGCCGCCGGACACCTGGACACCGACCGGCGGCTTGAGGAACCCCCGCTGCCGGCGGTGGCGGTGGATAGCGCCAAGCATGGGACGGAAGATGTGGGCCCTCAGCTGCAGGAGCCGCGGCCGCGGCAGGTGCACCGGGCTCCTCTTCGTCGCGCCAGTTGGTGTCTTCACACCCTCACACCCGCGGGTCGGATCAGCAGTGTCACTCTGGACACCAGCAGTCTGCACGAGCCCGGACAGCAGGCAGAGGCGTTCGCGGCAGCGGTGCAACACGCGCTGGCGGCAGCAACTGGCGGAGGCGCCGCCGGCGCCTCCACGGCGGGCACTGCCAGCTGCAGCATCAGCGTCGACGACGGTGACGGTGACGGTGGTGCGGAAGGGACCTGGCAGCAGCCGCCGCAGCCAGCAGTGGGCGGTGAAGACTCCGAAAGTGCGGCGGCGATGGCGGTGACGGCGGTGTCGGCCGCATCTGCGCCTTCAGCCACAGGCGGCGGTGGGGAAGCCGTGGCGGAGGCGCCGGCGGTTGCGGAAGCAGCGGTTGCTTGGGGAGGCCCCGTAACGGCGCCTGACCAGGCAGCCCAGCGGCACCATATCAGTGGCCGCGGCGCCAGCGGCAGCGGGCTGTACGGCATGGCGGTGGCAGCAGATGACCGGCGGGCCATGCCCCGCTGCGGCAGCGCGGACAATTTCATGTTACTGTTTTCAGGGCAGGCAGCAGCAGCGGCGGCGGCGGGTGCAGCGGAGGCCGCCATGGCGGCAGAGACGGAGGTGGCGGTGGCGTCGGCTTCTTGCGATGCCGTTGCCAGCAGCGGTGGCGGGTGTGAAGATGTCAGCACGGTCAGTGCGGCTGCATCTCCCCCCCGGACGTTGTCTGCCGCTCCTGGGCCCAGGCATATGCTGCCGCGGCAGCAGCAGCAGTCGGCAGTAGCTGCAGAGGGAACAACAGGGCCCCCCGCGGCCGGACCGCTGAGGTTCGGAGCCAGTGCTGGCGACGGTGATGACGGCAGTGGTGGTGGTGGTGGTGGTGGTGGTGGAACCGGCGGCAGGTTCGTCCGCGACATCCGGCACCGAGCGGCTGGTGAGGATGGCGGTGGGAGGAGAGGGGAGTCGAGCGAGGAAGATGAAGTGGATGTCAGAGAGCGGCGACGACGTCACGACCGGCGGCCTCCACCGCCGCCGCCGCCGCCACCGGCACACCGACAGTGCCCGGGGTTATTGGGATCCCTGACGGGAGGGCGCGGCGGCGGTCGCCTCATGGAGCCGTCAGCGCCATCCGTTCCGTACGGCGGTGATCGGTCGCTGCCATTGGGTCCAGCTGCGGCGCTCGGTGGCGGCAGTTGTGCCCCACGGGTCGTGACGGGCGCCGTTGGGGAGACCACCGCCGCCGCCGCCACCCCTGCCTTCGTGCTGAGCCGTGCCGGTGTTGAGGCCGTCGGAGCGTTGAGGCACTCGGGCCGGGATTCGGCGGCGGCTTGTACGGCAGTGGCGGCGGGGCAGCAGCAACAGCCGCCGCCGGGTCGGCTGGCGGCAGCAGCAATGGAGGGGCCGGAAGCGGAGGGGGCCGATGGTGAGCAGGGCGAGGACCTGGCGGCTGTCCATGCGGCCAAGCGGCGGCGCATGTTGTCGCAGTTCGACTTGTTGGAGCGGTGCTACCTGAAGATGAGGGCACCGGGGAGGTGAGGGGGAATAAGGGGAGGGGGAGGGGCGGGTGCAATGTAGTGGTACAATCCAAGACAAATAGCTGGGATGCAGCGGAAGAGGCCCTGAGGGGAGTGGAGCTGGGTAGTGGAGGAAATAGGCGGTCGGTATCGCGGGGATGGTGTGGGGGGAATATCCAAATAGGTGGGAGGGATGATGATGGGAGAAGAGCGCCATTTCAGTGTGGGCATTGGCGGAAAAGATAGTCGAAAAGAGGAAACGTCAAAGCTCTGCAGGGTCTCAGTCATCTCCCCACCACCACCGTTTCCCCCCCCCCTCACCCCCAAACATATTTGGTCCCACAACCGCTCTCTCCAACAGGACCCCCACCACCCGACGTGTCAGCGGGACCGGCAGCGCCCTTCACCCCAAACTGCACCCAATACCCGGGACAGAACGGGTACCAAACAGCCTGTCTTTGGCAGTAGCAACAGCAGCAGCAACCACAGGAGCTGCTGCTGCTACAGCTGCTACTACAGCTCCCCCGCGTCCGGGCTGGCCAGGTTTGTTAACCTTTCCAACGCACCTCCAGAACCCGCTCTCGGGGAGCCAGGCAGGGGCAGGAGGGCATATCGGCGGCGGGGCTACAGCGGTGGCGGTGGCGGCGGCGCCGGCGGCGGCGGGCCTTATTACAACCTCCGCCGCTGGCGGCGCCGCCGGTGCGTGTGGCGGTGCCCACCCCCACCGGGTTCCCGCGGGTCCCCGCGGCCAGTGCAACTGCGAGGGCGACGGAGCTCACGGGCACGGCGACGGCGGCGGCGGCGACCCGGACCTGGAGGATTTTAGTGCCGTACTGGCGGCGGCGACGCAGTACAGCCGCCTTGAGCTGTTGGCGGAGATTCCACGTCACGGACTTGGCTCGGCAGCGGCGGGGGCGATTCCGTCCGGCAATGCTGGCGGCGGCGGCGGCGGCGGCCTGCAGATTCTATCCAGTATCGAGTTTGATATGTCTGAAGATCTGTTCGCGACGGCGGGCGTCGTACCGCGAATCCTAGTGTACGATTATCAGGTACTTAGGGGTTGTCAGCATGCGCGGGTGAAGTGCGCCGTTCACATGACGCCAAGAGCGCATGTCGAGCAGTACAGTCGTACCGCCAGTCGTATCCCCCGCCCAATCTCCATGCCGTGTATCTGCCGCCGCCCTCTTCCCCCTCCCCCGCCAGCCCCCTGTCCCTTACCCCGCTGGGTGCTCCCGTTGGGCCCTAAGACCCCCGGCCCAACCCCCTCCTTGCTCCCCCGCCTCCCGTCCCCTCCTCCACCCACGCACCCGCAACCCGCCCTGGGGATATGCCGCCCCTCCCCTCCCCTCCCCCCTCAGACCCTGCTATCGTCCCGCCACCACCCCCACCACCCCCACCAGCCCCCTCCTCGTCCCGTCACCGAACTCACCGCGCGGTCCAAGCTCAGCTGCCTGAGCTACTCCCGGGGGGTGAGACAGCACCTGCTGGCGGCCGACTACCTGGTGAGGGGAACTGGGGGGGACATACACACACACACAGGGGGGGGGCATTGGGGAAGTTCTTTACCTGAGCCAAGGGTTGAAAGTCATTCTCGTTTCATTACCTTTGTTTTTCTGTAACGTCGGAAACCTGTCGAGTGTCAAAATTAGGAAAGCACACAGAAGTTTATGTCGGCCCCCTACGGCGGCGCTTCTAAGCGGATGCATTCCTGAGTCCACTCACCAGCCATGATGCGCCTCACACCCCCTGATGTGCCACCCGCCTCCCTGCACCCACCCCGGGGTCACAACCCCTCAGCCACCAGCACCGTGTATCCCGGCATCCCGGCATCGGCGGCGTTCCCTTTTCCTCGTAACCTTTTCTTTTTTCTCTTCCCCATGTCGTATTGTACGGTAGGGTGGTGTGGCTCTGTGGGACACGGAGGCGGGTATGCAGGTGAGGCGAGTGGAGATGGGGTTGTGGAAGGGCTGGTGGCGTACAGGTCGCGTAATGGTGGGTTCGGTGGGAGAGGGTGCATTTGTGTGCAGGGGTGTGTGTGTGTGCGTGGATCGTCCTCTCCGCCCCTCCCTCGGGCTAACTATCCCCTCTCCCCTTTCCCACCGGTCATAGTACAACTTGTACGGCTCCAGCTTCCCCCTTAAACCCGCTTCCCCTAGGTCCCCCTTCCAACCACCCACGCCCCCTGTTACACTCCCCCCCCCCCGATGTCAGGACAATTGGCATTTCTCTTGAGCTCTGTCAGGACTCTGCAACTACTTGAAATTGTTTTGATTACCATGAGGCCTCTCCAAGCTCACGGTCTCCATCCGCGCCCATCCCTTTTTCCCCCATTCGTTTCCTATTTCGTTAGCTCCCCCCTGCCCCCCTTTCGGTCAGTTCTACGTCTGGTACACTCTTGCCCTAGCAGCAGCTTCACTCGTTTGTGGTTCGTCTTTTCCCCCTTTCCCTTTCCCCCGGATGATCAACTGTATCCGCCGTACAATGACACACCACTGCAATGTACCCACAATCGCCACAATCGCCGCCACTGCGTGGGTTTCAGATCCAGGACTATGAGGCGCACGAGCGGCGAGTGTGGGGGGTGGACTTCTGTCCTCACCCCTCTCGCCACCACTACTTTGCCAGCGGCAGCGATGATGGGCTGGTAAAGGTGGGTGGGTGGGGGGAAGTGGTGGGCGGGGGAGTGCGTGTATGTTTTGGCCGCGGGAACACGTGCGTTCATCCGGTAGTATGTATGTTGTTACAGGGTGGTTAACTTCGCCAGCGGCCCCCTTTCCCGGGGCAGTCCCTGCTCTCCCCTGCTAGAGGGGCACCCTAATCCGTCACCCCATCCGACTTCAGAATGTATTCGTTGGGTTCGGCAACTCACCACCAGCATATAACCAAATCTAGCGGATCAACGGCGCATCAACTTAGTTCCTGGTTAGCTCGCAAGTTGATTTCATAACGTCCTACATCGTCCATATGATGGGGGGCCACCTCCCATTTCAACACTCCTCAAACACCCGAGGAGCCGTCAGGAGGATTTGAACCCGGGTCGGCCGGGAGCAGAAGTCAGGCCTTAACCTCTGCCAGCCGCCTGCATAAAGTAGTATGCATATGTGCGTATGTATGTGTGTGTGGCATTGGCGACATACATACACGGACCAAAAGCAAGAGGATGGGAGGGAGTATGGCCAGGTGCTCCTGCTGACGTCTCGGCATGTGCCTGAATGTACAGCAGCCTCCCTTCCGTACATTTCCACATTTCCCTCCCCCTTCCCCCAAGCCTCGAAACACCTCCCCGTTATTTTCTCTTCACTCTTATTCCCAAACCACCACCACCACCATACGGGTCTGCGTGTGCCTGTCCTACCCGCTCACTACCCACCCACCTCATACACCTGGACGATCTGTCGGCCTGACCGGTCTCGGCACCTCCCTCCCTAACCGCACCTTCCCCCTCCCACCCCAACCCCCAGCTATGGAGCACCCAGCAGGCCTCCAGCTGCCTGGCCCTGGAGCTCCGCGGCAATGTGTGCTGTGTGGAGTTCCACCCGCACCACCCGCACCTGCTGGCGGTGGGCTCGGCGCTGCACTGCGCGGCTGTGTACGACTTGAGGCAGCCGGCTGCGCCCCTGCACACCCTGCTGGTGGGCCGTAGGGGTGAAGGGGGTTGGGTTTGGTTTCGGGGGCAGCTAGCTAGGTAGGTAGGCAGGCAGGTAGGCAGGCAGGCAGGCAGGTAGGTAGGTAGGTAGGTAGAAGGGAGTGCGGAGAAGGCCTGCTGGCTGACGGAGTTGACAAACAGACAGACAGACAGACAGATAGACAAACCTACGTGCTAGGAGGGAACCACTTGCCTGATGCCAAAAATCGGAATTGACCGCCTCTCGTGTAAACCCCAGCACCATTGAGCTTTAGTCCGGTAACGCAGCGGCGGTGCAATTGTAGATACACACGGTCAGCGCTGGTGCGCGTGCTTGCAGCGCTTCCTTTCCTTCCCTTTAGACTTGCTGGACTTGTTCCCCTTTTCCACCGACAGCACCTCGCGACCACCATCCACCTCTGCGCGGCCCATCTCTCCTCCCCTGCGGCACGCACCGCCAACGCAGGGTCATCGTCGTGCTGTGTCGTACGTCCGTTGGCTCTCCAACCGCCATGAGCTCGTCACCGCTTCGACAGACAATACCCTCAAACTGTGGTCCCTATCGCCCCCACCACCTCCAGCTCCATCGGCTCAGCCAGTACCAGGGGCCCCCACCTCCGCGGCCCCTGTCGCAGCTGCAACACCCCACCAGCACCACCAGCACCATCACTACCAACACACAGCCCATTTCAACGATCCAACCGCCTCTGCCGCTATGACAGCCGCCACAGCAGCTGCATCGGGTTTTCCCGGCGTAGGCTCGGCCACCTCCACGCCCTTCCCTGTTTGTGCGGAGCTGGTTCGCACATTTTGTGGCCATGTGAACGAACGCAATTTCGTGGGTCTGGCTACCGACGGGGACTACGTGGCGTGCGGGAGTGAGCGCCACGAGGTGTTCGTGTATCATCGCTCGCTGCCGCAGCCGGCCTTGAGGTTCAGTTTCGCGGGCAGGTGGGGCGGAGGAGGAGTTGGGGGGGAGGAGGGGTATGGCGGGAGAGAGGGGTCCCTAGAAGGGGGGCTCATTGACTCCCAGGCTGGCCGGCAGCGCTGAGGTAAGGCGGCGGTCCAGCTGCCTTCCTCCCGCGACAAGCACATGCGACATTCCTCTTTCGGGACCCCTCTCTACCTGCCCTCCCTCCCTTGCCCGTCCACGCATACCCAAACCCCGCCCGCACGTACACCGCACCCGTTCTGTCCGCCACCACTTCTTTCCCTATTCTGGTCCCCCTCAACCACCCTAACTGCGAGCTGCGCCCCCCTAAACCGCTCGCGCGCTCTCCCCTCCCTCCCTACTGCTCTCCGCCGCTCCATCCAACAGCCCCAATCTCAACCCGACCCCAACGCGCTGTAGGGTGCATGAATCGGAACGTGGCGGCGCCGGACCCCCCCATCAACCACACCCCCACAGCCCCCATCAGGGCCCCAACTACCAACAACAGCAACAACCCAACCACTTCGTCACTGCTCTCCAATGGCGCCGCAACAGCCCGCACCTGCTGGCCGCCAACAGCGCCGGCTGTCTATGGTTGCTGGGGCTGAAGCTGTAGTCCCGAGGTATGGCTACTGCCGGGAAGTTTTTTGCCGCTGCAGCGCTGCCAGTACTGCTTGTGTTGTGGTCCTTAGAGTGTATGCGGTGGCTGGGTTACCCAGCTGCAGCTGCAGCCGAGCCGGGGGGCCACTCTCACAGGCAGGGTGCGGTGTGCGGGATGGATGGCCCGCATCCTAGTGTGGGCTGTGATGGAGTGGGCCAGTCAATGTGGTTAGGTTAGGCAGTCTCATGTGTAAAAAAGAGCACAGCTTGAGGGGGGGAATTTTAGGATGGTTTCGTTTTCTTCATCAGGGGCCGGTTAGCGGAATGGATTGCAAGGCGGGGTGGACGTGTGTGAATATGTATATGTGTGTATATACGTGCGACGGATGACGTAGCATGCGGGGTATGGATGGGTACGGCTGCGTGTGCCTTGAACTGCGGAGTCTGCGGTGTTTTGGTGTGACGTTAGGGGTGTATCCGTCGAGTGGTCGTGGCTCGCTTGAGAGTAAACCGGATATGGATGGTACGTCGATGGCAGCTGCAACTCAAGAACGGAGAACTTGTGTTTTCCTTGAAGTAAAAGGGCATCAATGTCAACACCAAGAACCATAATCAAGTATAATAGAAAAATGTGCCGTGTTCAAAATGCCTCAATCAAGATCTGCTCATATCATGGGCTGGCTTCCTCTAATCGAGTTCGTACTTTCATGATTTGTGACTATGTGTCGTCCGTGCTCAGTGTGATAACAATCACCCGGGTTGAGGACTTGGACATACATATATTCACGTGCACACGTACACAACCAGTCCACTATAACTCTGCGATGGACGGGTTCATGCCCTCATGCACAGCTACGTGTCTATATGTGTACGTATGTATGTCCACGGGGGAGGTGGGCAGGCGATGAGAGGGCGCACTCTGTGTAGGTTCTTTGCATCACGGTCACCCCGCCTGTCGGACAGACGGACAGACAGACTGACTGGTGGACAGGTGGACCCAGTTCAAAGGCACTGCAGGAGAAGGTTAGCAGCAGCGGCAGCATCACCGAGTTCGCGGGAATCCGGATGTAGGGAAAAGTGGTTGTGGGCTTGTGGCGCAGTGGGGAGGTTGGGGGTTAGACTGCGGGAAGGCCTTACAGGTCGCCTTGCTGCGCGGGTTTGCGCGAGGTTAATCTGGGGTTGGGGGAAATATCAATCTTGGTGCGCATTTTGCCGAGAGGCGCTATGTTTTTATTGGGGCCACTGCAGCGCTTTTCTTCTTTCCCAGGCAGGACTGCTGACTTGTTCGCGTGCTGGTGCTGTTGCCGTCGATTGCGCTGCTGCCATCTTTATGTACACGCCGCGGACGACACGGACCGGGGCAGGACGGGCTGAGGAGATGACGGGCAGATGGCGGGAGAGGAACGAGCCAGAGCTAGGTTTTGGGTTTAGGTGTTTCGTTTCATGTCTCCAGTTTTTTCCCGGTTCATTTTTGGCACATCCAAAAACGAGGTTTGGGTCTTGATTTCGACAATAATGGTGGTGATAGACGGATGTGAGGGGAGGATTTGGGGGGAGGATTTGATGAGATGGCGGCAGTAACGGTAACGGTGATTGTGCTGACCTGCGATGTGCGTACGAACTGTTGTGTCGATGTTCGATAATGGCCATGCGCCTCACTACACCCTCCCAGTGTGTGCCTATATTGCGAGGGATGTGTACGGGATGTGTACGGGATGTGTACGGAGAGGGCGCCAGGAAGCTGTATGCACAGCGGGGGCCGTTACAGAGTGCAACGAGGGATAGGTTAGGAAGGTGAGCGGGGGGCCAGGGTCGCCAGTGTTTTTACACCTCCCTGGATTTTTAATTATTCATGACGGTGCACAACTTATCGTTTGCAGGACTAGTTAGTCAACCTGTTGACATGGCTGCTCCTTCTTGGCCCGTTATACTCTTTCAATGAATAGCAACAACACCATTCGTTCATGTACAAGATAAAAATAGAGGCCTTAACCGACCTAAGGCCTCTCAGTAACCTAGATCCCAGGATTCAGGGCACAGATTCAGGATCATGGGCTACATCCGAGACTCCCTTCCCTACAGGTAACCCACGGGATCCAGGATACGAGATCCAGGATCTCGATCTGCACCACGATACGATGTCTCAAGCTAATTGTCGCCCTGCTAAAGCAGTCTGTCTGTGCGAGGCAGTTCTCGGGGAATTGGCTTTCACAACAATGCTATACGTTTGAAGGTCTCAAACCCAGTCGCCCTCCTGCAGCTTCAGCGGCAGGTAGACTTGCGTGAGGTACTGGAAACCGAAAGACGACAAGGCCTGGATCTCAGCCTTCACCTTGGTGGCCAACATCAGCTCCAGCTCCTTCACCCATTCAGGGTTGGCACGGATGAAGTCTTCTTCCAACTGAAGTACAGCGGGCAGCGTACGATGCAACATACGATATCGCACAGCGCAGCAGATATATTTTTTAAGGGGTGAAAGCGGTGGACGGGGTCGAGTTATGTGGGATGCACGGAGACGGATGTTTTCGCGAGACGTGGGAGATGAGAAGGGGCCGGAAAGCAAAGAAGCAGGCAGGCGAACATGCAGGCACGGGGGAAAAAATGACCGCGGCTGTGTGGTGGTGGAATGTTCAAAGCTCCGTCATCATCACAGCGAAATCAATGTGCAGTTTCGGAGCTCCTCTGCGTTTCCCCAAAACCCTAAACCTCCTTCCTCCTCTCCTCGCCCCTCCCTTCCTGCGCCCACGCACCCTCCCGCCGCTTCTTCTCCCTCTCCCTCTTCCAGTCCCAGCCCTACTGCACTACCCCCAAACGCTTTTCCCTTAACCTTCTTATTCCTGATCTTGTTTCCGGGTTAACAGCGAGTGCTAGACCGGGTAAAAAAACCTTGACACATGACTCTGTTCGTGCACACCACTCAGCCACGCGAACCCACCAGCCTCCGTCCCGTCTTGATATCCTCCTCCGTCATGGGCAGTCGGCACTGCTGCGGAATGTTGAAGCGGTCCAGGTCCGAGGGGCGCACACCCAACCACTTGATATCTGGTGTGGTCAGGTTGGACGAGTCGTACGACATGTTCATGCTACCCTGTACGACGGGTCAGGGTAGGAAGCGCAAAAGTCAGGTTTCTAAGAAGAAGAAGATTTGGGGATAACCAGACAGCGGCATGGTGCAACAGGACATGGCGTGTGTGCCGTGGGGGCCCGGGAAGGGAGTGGCGGCAAAGGAAAACTCCGAGAATGGGGTGGAAGTGAGCACGCGTGCGTCTTTGGAGGAACAGAACAGCTTGCGTGCATTGTAATGCGTGTATCTGTTACCGCGTGTACGGGGTAGTCGTGCAGGGTTCACACGTGCCGCAGTGTGTGCCGCGGTGGCGGAGTGGCTTTCGGGGCTCTTGCGGCAGATTGCGGGCTGCCATGAGGGAGAACCCGGCCTGTGCTGGGGACTTGGGAGCTGCAGGTCACCTGTAGCAGCTGTTACTGCTGCTGCTGCTACTGCGGCGGCAACTGGTTATTACATAACACCAGTAGAGCAGCGATAACGGGCGTACAGTAGTAGCACTAGACACCGGGATGGAGCAGAGCTGCAACAGCAGTCGCAGTTAGGCCGGCAGCAAGACTGCAACAGCACCACCTTCACGTCGTACCTTCATGTATACGGACAAGATCTTGAGGCCGTACGGATCCGAATCGACGAGTGCCAGTACGGGGATCTTGAGGGTGCTCTTCAGGCGCTTCAAAAACAACCTGCGGTGTCCCAACAGAAACAATTCGGGTCGGGTGCAACGAATTGCTGCATGTACGGCACGGTGATGGTGACGTGTACGGTGACGTGACGAATGTCTATACGGTGGGTGGGACAATAGACCGGACGAACAGAACGGACATACAGACGAACGGATAAGCGAAAGGACATGACTTGCTTTCAAGGCCCCCACATCTGTGGCCAACAACGGGGTGTGGGAAGAGAGCAGAGGTGAGAAAAGTGGATGGGAAAGAGTAAGAAGCCTGCCACAGCAGTTGGCGATCTGGGTCCGCATAGGTGGTGAAGCCCCCTCCTCCCTCCACCTCACCCAGCTCACCGCCTTCTCCCCTTCCTGCCATTAGCTTCACCAACTCCGGTGAAACCCCTAGGCCTATCTGCCTCCATCTCCACCGGGGCCCCCCCTTACCAGCGGGCAACCTTTCCCCCCAGCCACACGCTCATATGTTCACATTAGTGGACAACACCTCGCACACCTTGTAGCCACATCCGGTTGCCCCTTGGCGGTGAGGATGATGCACGGGTAGGTGTTGTAGAAGCGGTCCTCAGCCAGCCGCATGAAGGCGGCATCCTTCTCCACCAGCAAGATGAAGGCGGCATCCGAGGAAATGTCCGAGACCTGTGCGCAAGTGTGCAGGTGTGCATGTACGTGTGGAGCGTGTTATGTCGTGTTATGCGTGTGTATGTATGTCTCTGTTCAATGCAACAATCACATGTGAAGTGCAACGGGGGAACCATGACTGTTTACGTCTGTGTGCGTGTGCATGTGCGTGTGTGTGTGCATGTGTGTGTGTGTGCGTGTGGTGGTTACAGTGGGCTCCAGACTCGTGGTGGGAACCAGCTGGCCAGCTGGCAGTGCATTACTGCACATTCGTGTGGCCTCGCGCCCCGGACTCCGTCAAGGGGGTGTACGCATGTGCGCGTGCGTCCGTGTGCCGCTCGTGTGTGGTGCGGCTGGAAAGGGAAAAAGAGGGCCGGTGTTGAAGCTTCTAGAAAGGAAAGACAACCGATTCGACGGATGGGAAAGGAAAGGGAAGCGACAGGTGGGGTACGGAAACTGACGCCCACCCACACCAGCCCAGCAACCTGTGGACCCCCCTCCCCCACTCACATAATCTACACAACGCCACGCGTTCCTCCAAAGACGGCACACACTCCTCAATATACAAGCACAGCATACACAGCCCACGTGCTTGGCTACTTCCCTCAATAAGATTGCTCGTGTGTATCCTCACCGCTTCCTACATCCCAACGTCGTAAGCCAATACCAAACAAAACCCCATACAACCCGCCTGAACCCCGAGCGATCAGGGCCCTCCTACCTTGTCAATATTTGGCGGAATGGCTTTCCCCCCCACTCCCATTCTCTGACAGTCGATGAAGTCTCCGTCCTCCCGGAAACTCAGTCGACCCACCACCACCCCCTTCTCGGAAGCCACCACTGCAACAGGGAACAACAGGGAACAACAACGATAACAACAACAACGACGATGACGACGATGACGAACAAATCAAGTCATGAATGATGCATGGATGAATGTTCACGGTACCTCTGAAAAAGCAGATTCCATTCATCGTACGACCCGGATGCACTACCCAACCGACCAACAACGGTCCACATCTGTGCACGTAGCCATGCCCCTCCTTGCACCCACCTCTCTTCCTCCACCCAAACCTCCTCCCCCCATACGCACCGTTCAGACTAGAGCGGGTGCAACCCAGCATACACGCCAGGTCATCCAGGACCGCATCCGACTGGGACTGGTCCTGCGGGGGTGGTAGTGGCGGCAGCGGGTGGTCGGGTGGAAAAGTGGGGGTATGGGGTCACGGACACAGCCACCAAGGAGGGCCGTATCTGCACGCTTCTGTGCATCCGGGGCTACAACACATATAGATCGTCTCCAAGGAACAATCACCTGCTCGAGGCGCCAAGGAGCGACGAGAAGGAGGACGCGCAGGCGAAATGGGGAGGGAAACGTTAGTCAGGAGTCGGAGTCAGGTCAGGTTCCGCACCTCGAACAGCTTTACGTCCGTGTAGAAAAGGTCACGCTTGGTGACGTGAATCCTCTTGCCCACCAGCTCGTGGACCAGGCTGAGGATGCGGGCGGTGATGGCGGCCTTCCTGCGGGTGCCGCGTGTGTGGTTGTGGGGGGGTTGTGGGGGCGCGGGTGGTGGAGGGAGGTTGGTGGTGGCGATATTCGGACGGGTCGTGAGAGGCAATCTATGCGGGCAATGAAGACGAGCAAGCAGGAGAGGGGAGTAAGGCGAACCACTGAACAGCGGAGGGAAAAGAAATCCATGCGAAGGCCGAAAGGCCTTCATGCCGACGCCGCGCAGCACCAACTGCCGGAGTACAAAGCGGTGGCGAGGAACGGGAGGAGATGGGTCTCCCCGCGATGTGCAAGGAACATGGCGACGAATTGAACATGGCGACGAGTAACAGGTTATATTACCCCTTTGCAGATGTCGCGCGGGACGTGAAGGGTTAGATGGGCAGTGGGCTCAGGGCCGGGAACCCGTATCGGAAAGAGACCCCCCCCGCAGCATGAACAGTTCAGCAGGAAGGCACAAGACAGGCTTTACGTTCCCCTCTTCAACTGCCGTCCCCGTCCCTGCGCGGCCGCACCTGCAAGTGGCGGTGTTTGCGAAAGGCCTCTTGGACACCGTATCCCGTAGCACGATTCGGTCCAGCTCGGGGACGTACATCTGCAGGTGGGACATCTCCACACGGCCTCGGAACGTGATGCGCGGTGAAATGCGGTGACGCCGGAGCCTGCCCACACATACGCATCTCCCCCGCTCACCTCCCTGGGCGGCGTTAAACCCAACAAGATTGGACAGACAACATCAACCAGGCCATCCCCAGCAGCACTGGCCCTGGGGCCCAATTTTCCCCTGACACCAGATCAGGCCGTCTCTACGGCAACCAGCGCGGATCACAGCCCCGCTACCCCACCTGGTTCCCCTTGGCTCGGGAGGGTATATCAAAGCTAAAGCCCTCCCCATCCATGATACTGGCAGCCACTGCGTAGATGGCCGTCTCGATCTCCGCCAGTACCTCGTCCGTGTCCTTGTCCACCACCTGCAATGTCAGGGAAAACAACCCATGGCCATGCCAGTTGGCAACACGGCCCCAAACCAGCAATGAGAGCTTCGGCATCTTTCACATCGCATCCGACAGCACTTGCCATCCCAACCGCCTAAGAAGCGGCGTCGATTAACGTTAGGAACGGCAATAACCCGGCGATACTTTGCGTGGGCTTTTTGAAGCGCAGTATGCGAACGACGGACAGTGTGGTCCTGAGCCGAGGTGTGTACGTGCACGTGTGCATGCAATTGAAGGATACGTGTGTTACACTGTGTGCATTCGGACGCAGGAGTACTCCGTGAGTAGGTATGTGATAAGCTGGCGCCGTAGATCAAACAGAACGAACGAAGGCTTTCTATCTGCCACTATGGAGGCTTTCTATCTGCCACTTGCATGCGCTAGTGTAAGGGTTCATCAAGAGCGCAGCACGCGTCCCTGCCCCGTCCGGGTTCCTTCCGGATCCGCTTCCTCACCGAATCTCATTCCCTGCCCGCGTAATTTTGTATTAACCAACCTCGCGGCAGTTGTACGGCAGTTTCAATTCGCCCAGGGTCCTGCCGTTTCGCCGGCGGGGAGTTTGGGGAAAGCCGCCGGAAAATGGGGGTTGGAATCAGGGTAGTCGAAGATAGGTAAGCAAGTACAGAAACGAGGCCGCGTCGCGGGGATACGAGGAAGGGGAAAATGGAGTCATTAGGGGTATGAGTTTGTTTTTGCGCCGCGTGCTTGGTGTGCGCGCAGCGCTAGGGTTTGACGAACGCGATGGCGGCTTACTTTTCAATTTCGTTGTTGCCTTTAAGTTCTGCCGCCAAGGCTTTGACCTTCTTCAGCACGTCCTGCGGAGGTTTGCAGCGGACAAAGTAAAAACCTCTCCTATTGGCCCTCGGGTCATTCATGACAACCAATCCTTGAAGTTGATAGGGATGCGGACAGCATTATCAGCCGAACGTCAATTCATGCCATTCACACCTCTGCAGCGCGGATTTTCTTGCCCTTAGCTATGGCAAGCGCCTGTTCCGTCCCCCCCCTTTTCGACATTTATGCCAACTTTTCTCTCACACGTTGAGGTGCTGGTACTCTCAACTCCGAAGTGTGATAAAAAAAGAAGTTCCGCTAACTGTCTGTCCGGCGTTGCAACTTGCTGCCGTTTACCCGCGCTTCTTAATTCATGTTGCCGGAAATTTATTGCAGGGCGCTACATTATTTGGTTTCGTATTCTTATCGTTTCTCATCTTTCCTGTGGCCGCGGGTCTTGGGTATTGTGGTTATCCGGCAGTACAACTGCGTACGATCGGACGCAAGAACAGGGCTGTGGCACTATATCCCTTCCTGTCCACACTACTTAGGCAGTCGACACCTTACGTTTGAGTATTTTGCAAGCATAACTTGTTATAATGTCGGACAGAGCAGAACACCGTGAACGGGAGCCAAATTCTGTTTCCAAAGGTGACGGCAGGGACGACCGTGACCGTGACCGCGACCGCGACCGTGATAGGGATCGTGACAGAGATAGAGATCCTCCTTTAAAAGAGTACCTACCAACAAAGGACTATGCTAAGGACTTTCCACCACGGGATTATTCTTCCAGAGATTATCCGCGTGGCGACACTGGTTATCACAACAAGATTTATGTTGGTGGCTTGGAATTCTCTGCAACCAAGGAGGACATTGCGGAAGTATTTTCGCGTGCGGGAAAGGTGCTCAACGTGCAGCTGGTGATGGACCATGAGACCCAGCGCTCAAAGGGCTATGCGTTCGTCACGTTTGCGGACGACGATGCATATGAATATGCTATCAAGCGGGTGAGGACAACTTATTGTTTCAGTTTTCTGTCGCATTGCCCTGCCAGTTTGGATAAGAAGGTTGCATTTGCTTATCTGCAGATGAACGGCGTCACGGTCAGGGGCAAGGAGGTCAAAGTCAATAAAGCGTTGAACCCAGACGAAAAGGCTGACCGTGGGCCACCCCGTGACCGGGATCCTGGCCATGGCCGTTACATTCCGCCGCGTCCATATAGCAACGATAGGCCACATTTTGACAAACCACCCGGCCCGAAGAGCAAGGGTTTCCGCGTCACAATATCGGGACTGCCAACGCATTACACCTGGAGGTGCGTCTTCCACAAGGTTATTTTTCTGGGGCTTTTGGCCTCCCCGCATCACCCACGCGTGCATTACTTGAACACGGTGCAAGCATAGTAGGCGCCAAACCCCGAGATGGGTTACGCAACTGTGATCAATTGCCTTGCTCCTCGCTAAGGAGCTTCCCTCTACTTGATCCTGTCCAACCCTTACATAACTTTCATGCACAACCCAACCGCCATGCGTGCAGAGAGCTGAAGGACTTCTTGCGCAATACTACTGCCGCACAACCCACCTATGCGAATGTGGAGCGCCCTGGATACGGGTACTGTCACGGGGCTTTTGCAGAGGTTCCATCCGCTATGTTCATGGGGACCTCTTTCTTGAGTCCAGCTGGCTTTTTTTGGTGCAAAAGCAGCGACACAGCGGGCTGATCTTGGGCACATTGACTAACCGCACACACACCTATGTCAGGTTCGCCTGTTGGAATGTGGGTTTGTACTCTTGGGTCTATCTCCATCGCCTGCCCAGCCTTTGCTTTGCACTGGCCTTAGCGCAGCCGGGACGGCCAAGGCTTACTTCGGCCCCAGCTTTCGCCGCCTCTGGTTTGTGGATTCGTGGGCTTCAAGTCCTTGCGCACGCACGTGTCTCCGGGCCTGGGCCCAGATGTTTTTCATTTGAGTTGGAATAACGGCGTCGGCCAGCACGGTCCGGTGGTGTACTCCTTGAGACTTCTATTTATCCCTCCTTGGGTGGAGGCATTGGTGGTAGCAGTTTCTATGATAGCAGGGCCGCCGCGAAGCTGTGACAGCATTCTTAATGGTGGTTCAAGTGTGGTTCTAAACAAATATTTACCATTGGATGGGACTTGCGCCACGTGCCGCCCGTCCCATTTCTTTACGTGACTCCGTAATTAATGTTGTCTTGGTGCTCTGGTCGTCAGGCAGATTGTACTAGGTAGGCGCACCTGGTAATATGTTGGGTGGGAAGCAGCTCAGAGCAGCCGACTTCCGTGATTTTACATAACCGTATCGGGAAGCGACGGGAGGAGCTACTTGCATGCTTCGAAAGCTGCAATGGGCCTTAGCACACACATCAACCAACAATTTTGCAACTCATAGACAGCCGCATCGGTATGGTGAGTACGCATGTTTTCTTGGAACGGTTGTGCGAACCTTTTCCCCTGTGCCGTATGCGTGCTTGATTTTATGCCGTGGTGTGCAGCGTGGGCGAGTGGACATCCTCAGAGGAGCGGCGCAAGGCTATCGAGCGACTGGATGGCATGCGTCTGGAAGGAGGCGAGCTACGCTGTGTGCCGCTGGTGAGTGCAGAGGCCAGCGGAATGTGAACTTGCTGGGGTTGTACTCCTCCTAAGGCGTCCCGGTGCGTTAAATGCTGTCTATATCTCGTTTCTGTCCTTTATCTGAGAGCGCCTAGCTATCAATATGGTTGCTGTGCTAAGATTTTGCCAAAAATGCTGTTCGTCGAATAGGAAGAGGATCGTGGCGATCCTAGCTACGGCGGTGGAATCTCTCATCACCGCTCCGAGCGTCCTGGGAGTGGGTATGATGACCCCGGTTACGGCCGCGGGGAACGCGGCCGTGGCAGTTGGCACGACGACCGGTATCACCCTGGATCATACGAGGGCGGTCGAGGTGGTAGCAGCGCCGGGTACGATGATCGTTACCCGGACAAGTATGGCGGCGCTCGGAGCCCCGGGCCTCGCGTAGGTGAGTTATCCTATTTATGGATTTAAGTCTTTTACATTCTGGTTGAGGGCATGTCGTCAGCACGTTACTGCCCTTTGTTCAGATAAATAACCTCGCAATCTTTCGGATGTTGTGCAAGGCAGGCGCGTGCATACCAGCAGCCCTGTTCACGGTGTTCGGGAAATACTTGCATGATGTCTGTTGCTAGGTGGCTACGATGGGCCTGCCAGTGGCCGCTACGACGGGGGCGGATTTGCACCGCGTGAAGGAGGTCGTGACCCTGGTGGCTACAGCCGCGATGGACCCGGTGCGAGCTACAACCCTCGCGACCCAGGTTACGTTTCGCGCGATCCGCCCAGCTACGCCGGTCGAGATGGCCCAGGGTATGGGCCCAGCGGTGGCTACAGCTCGCGTAGTGGCGGCAACTATCCACCAACAGGCGGCTACAGCTCGCGCGAGCCTCCTCCGCGTAGCGCTGGTAGTTATGATGACCGGTACCCTGACAAGTACGGCGGCGGCAGGGCCGAGTATCCGGGCGGCGGTGGCGGCGGCGGTCGGCCAGGTGCGTGCCATACTCTTACCGCAAGCATCTTGTTTGTTGGTCGTGGTTGAAAGGACGACTTGGATTTCCAGTGTGCCTCATGGCATATGAAGGCTGCAAATGCCTCCCTATAACCCTTAGAAAGGACGTGCTGGATTGCTGAGCTCGCCTTCGGGGCCCTTTTGTACGTTGCTTAGCTTGTTGGTGTATCACGTCTGCATATTGTTCGCCTCTTGTCTCGACAGGAGGGTACGATGTGGATGGCGGCGGCAGGGGCGGGCGATACGATGCTGGTGGCTATGATGGGGGCCGCCGGGAGCCAGGGTATGTCCCGCCGTCAAAGGAGCCCTACGGTGGTCGCGACCGTGAATTTGCGTTCGCACCTCGCGACGCGCCTTATGCAGGCACTCGAGGGCCCAGCGGTGGGCGGGATGTAATTAACGATCGGAGGTACGAGGGTAGCGGTGGTGGTTACGAACGTGGTGGTGGGCCTGGTGGTGGCAGTGGATACGATAAAGGCCACGACAGAAGTTACGACCGTGGGTACGGATATGAGCCCGGCGGTGGCAACTACAAGTCGGGCGGCACAGGAGCTGGCGGAGGTTACGGCGCATCTGGTCGTACGCCACCTTCCACGGCGCCCGCAGGCCGTAGTGGAGGAGAGCGCGGCGGCAGCAGCTATCCGCCAGGCGGTTATGAGAGCAGCGGGCGGGGTGGCCCAGACCGGAATTACCCAATCAGCCGGACAGGAGCTTATGAACGCCCTGCACCCTACTAGGTTACTAATGACTGGCGCGCGTTGCATTGAAATTCTGAAGTTACGACGGATTCTGCATTGCGTTGAAAACTTAGACTTACTGGCACGCGGAAATGTATACAATTTATCGCACTCTGTTACACGTGCGAGGCGGTAGCTAATTTTTCAATGCTGCGGTTTCGGGATTGGGTGCAAGTATTGTTGGGTTTGCATCTGGCATGCATATTGTGATGCACGCTTCCTTATGCGTTGGGTTGCTGATAGAGGTTGGGTAGGGCACCAGTACGCAAATTCAACCTTGATTCCTATTATTCTGTTTAATTACTGCGGACGGCAGAGACGGACGTGCAGTGTGGGAATGGCAAGATTTGGGCCTGTGATTTCGAAGGTCGGGAGATGGCCTTGGCGTAAGCTCCTCCATGCCGCCTCATTCCTTGTTGCCATTTCTACCTGCTAGACGCCCCCTCCTTTGCGACTGTTAAGCAAGCTGAAATGGCAAAGACAAATGCACCACGGAACGATGGCAACTGCTGTTTCCCACCGCATTTCGGTTGTGGTGATCCTGCGCTGTCTGGAACGCGTGGGCGGCATGGCGCGCGGTTTTGGAAGCGCACCATTTCCACGCAAGCCCATCGGGCCGTCGAGTTTTGTCCATGTGCCGCTGGGAGTCGACGGCGATTTCGGACATGACGTAAACGTGGTGGGCTAATTGTGGTGGACAATGTGTGTTTCTTAACCTGTTCTGACTTGGCGTCGCCGCTGACAGTGCGAAAGCGGAGCAGGAGTAATCTTAATTTCTTTCGCCTTCACGTAAGGGCGTGTGGGTAGGTAGGAACTTCATACGCTGATGAGCATGACATCGTAAGGGTTCAATCGCCGCAGGGTTGCACCTGGCTGCATGCCGTTGAATTTGTCGTTGTTGCCGGTACATTGCCGAATGAGTCGTTGTTGCCGGTACAATGCCGATCGCTTTTACGGCTTGTCCAGCAACACGACCCAGGACAAGTTGCCTCTCACTTGGAAGTGTTGGTTATGTTACAGTGAAACATAATTTCCGACGGTTTCATGGGTATCGGGGCACTCCATTTGGAAGGGACTAATATCTGAGCAAGGGCAGCTTACACTGGCTATCTAAGTTTTTCCGCTGTAATGCGCTCGTGTTAAACTCCGTCCGAAGGCTTGTAATGTAATGTAATGTTACAGAGTGGGAGGCTTCTGGGCCGCTTTATCACATTGTCAGTTCTACGATTTATCACCTTACAGCACCATCCACCACTACCACACTGTCTTCGCCATACGAACTGTAAGTCCAAGGCGGCGGATCCAGCCTTCAGGGACCCCTCCTCATCCATTCACCCGAACATCCGAAGAGACTGAGGGTTCGGCAATCGCCACCAATCCAGCGTGCGAATCTGGTCCATCAACTGTGACCTCAACTCCACATCTCAGCAGCTAGCCATTAACTCGCGCTCCTGACTAAATTGGGGGTCTCCCCGGGAATCGAATCCAGGACCTTAAACCGCTAATTGCAGTAGTGTCAACCCAGACCAGACCGAAGGCTTGTGTATGAAATCGAGTTATGAGCGCAGGTTGTCCAACATTGACGTCAGTGCACACCGTGCGCGCCGACTGCCCAACAAGAGCATTTCCTCACTACTTTCTCCAGGTCGCCGCGCGAGGTTTTTTTGACCACCCTCTGCTCGTCCAACTACAGCTGCTACCTTCCTGCGGCAGCAGCCCAGGTGCAGCTCAGCAATTAGTTATGCACGTATATAAGGAATGTGATTGGCTACATAAATTCGACTACTGCAGCATATCCGTGCACACAAAGGCTGTAAATGTCATTCTTGTGTTCGCGGGGGTTAGGTTTCAGAAGGGCTTGGTTCAGTGGCTTGCAGTACAGGTGCTAAGGCAAGGGCGACACCGCGCTTGGTCAATGTTGTGTTTCCTCAATGAGGAGGTCAACATCGGGGTTTCCTGGGTTGGCCTGCCTCGTAGCAGCATAGGTTGTCTGGGCCCACGGGTCCCCTGTGAAAGCAGGAATTGCCACCATCACGGCTTATGGGCACGTGAATGTTCCTATTGTATGATCTCACCATTGATGTAAAAATTAATTAATGAGGTCGTGATAAAGTCGCCAGCGCCCAACCGAACCTTCGGGGTTATCCCAGGAGGAGCGTACAGCATTCCGGCGAAGCCTGATCGTGAACAAATTCAAAATTATTATCACAATTAAGGATTTGGTATATGCCAAATGATCAGCTGTAGATGGATTTCGGCTCCATTTTGTCCCTGCACGGAGCTCTTTTCATAATCGGGCATGCGGTCTTAACTTGTGGGCATTTTCGGCAATAGTGCACGGCATTACAGCGCGCCGCGAGTTGCGCTGTCACAAGTGCGCTGGCGAACGATCTACTGTCAAGAATTAGGTTAGACCTGTGTTTGATGTACCTGAAGCTTTAAATTCGACCGTAGGGCACAACAGTTTTGTGTACAAAGTTATCACATGAAGCTGATCTCTTAACGCCTCACGAGGGTAGAGGCGGCGTCTTTTGCGAAAGCTGGCTTACTGCCAAGGTCACACCGACGCAAGCTACCGTCCTGTTATTTTAGCCTCTGGGCACAGTTATTCATTGCAGAGCTGTCACCTGTAAGACTCACAGGAGCTTTTGCATCCTTGCCGGAATCGCGGGAAGCCGCGCAACCTAGAGCAATCTTTTCCTATTCCTCTCAAAGGAACCGCGTCGCTGGTCCGCATCGCTTGGTGCCTCATTTTACAGCAAAGGCGCACGGCGTTCGAGTGCTTCGAATCGCACGCCGTAGGCTCAGCGATTGGAAGCACGCATATTTCGCGGCCGTGGGTATCACCGTCTGCCGCGTAGCGGAGCCAGCCTAGCCATGCTGCTGGGACTGGGGAGCAGCGGCGCGCTGCCCGGCGTGGGCAGTTCTGGCGCCGCCCAGCCGACGGTTCCGGAGCCTTCCTCCGTAGAGCAAGTCCTTGCCACCATTCAGGCAGCACTCTCCAACGACCGCGCCACCCGGACTTCCGCTGAAGCGCTCTTGCACGGCTGGGAGGCGGACGCTGCGCCAGGCTTTCTATCGGGCCTCATGCGTATTGTGGAGCAGCACGACGCGGTCCCGGAGGTGCGTGGTGCGAATTGCGTCCTGGTTAACAGACCCAAGTAACAACTAACAGAATACGGGTGGCACGTGGACTGGGCCAAGCCGGCGCGGGCGACGAACCTCATGTGGGGCAGCCGTTATCTCTTTAGGGGATCCGGCAGAATGCGCGGCGAAATGAGCGGCCAGGTTCAGAGTAGGAAGTGTCTCGCTGTCCCCCGTTCTGTATGACCTGGCCGGCCGCGGGCTGGGAGGAGCTCATCTGGCCGTAAAAGCGCTGGACCCCGGCCACGCAGTCCGGTAGGTCTGGCCGTCATTACAGCCAGCCTTGTGTCATTACATGCCGCACAGCTGTGGCGCTGCGCTGGGCTGTCCAAAAGCCGACCTGTGGAATAGCTCACAGGTCCTAAGCTTAAGCCAGGCGAACCCTGGGGGACTTTGGAGGGTATGGGAGCCACCGTGTAAGCTGTGTGTCCTGGCCACCTGAATGCAGCCAGGACCTGGGCTGGGGTTGCGAAGAGTGTAAAGGTTTTGGTGGGATTCAGGATTGTTCAACGCTTTCGAAGGGTAGTGCTTTTGAACCGAACCCTAGTGGGGCCTTGCGGAGATTTGGAGTGGACGGCGCGGTGGCGACGACCACATGCTAAGGGCGTGGCTTAGGTGGAAGGGATTCACAGCAGCGGACAAGCATTCGGCCGGTTGCTGTTGTTGTTGTTGCTGTTTTGTCGGCTGCATGGGGGAAGGCGGCGAGGGAGCGTGGCGCGGCAGTAGCTTTGGGCATCCAGGGCATCTGTAGTGATGGGGAGGGCCGCAGAATTCACGGCATTTATGCCGTTGAAAAGAGGTTATCTCGGGAGCTTGGGGCATGGAGGACAGTTTCCCGTCCCGGGCAGAAGATCGACTTGGGGGGGTAAGCTGAACTTCCCCCATCTCTGCCAGTCTCTCTCGGCCATTTGCAGTAAGTATTCCTTGCAGATTGCCCCTATCGTCGTCCCTTCCTTAGCATAGCTGCTGTTTGGTCCGCCCACCGCCGATTTTTCACCGCCGCCGCTGTACCTTGTGCTCGGTCGCGCGCTGTATTTCTTTAAGGTCCTGCTATTTCGCTATCTCTCGGTAGTTGGCCTCCTGCTTCTTACATCATATGATTCCTCCCTCCGTCCCGTCCTCGCAGCCTATCCGGCTGCTGGCGGTGGTGGTGGCCAAGAACGCGGTGGGCAGCTCCTGGCGTAAAACCCTGGGCACCCGCGAGTGGTCGCGGGTTCCCGACACGGAGAAGGCCATGGTGCGGGACGGAGCCATGCAACTGCTGCTGACAGGTTGGGGGGTAGGGGGGCTCCCTCGGCCGCGGGGTGCGGGTGGGACAGGAGGAGGAAAGTGAAGGGAAGGACATGGGGGAAGGACGGAATTTTCGCGGGGGGGCGGAAGGGAGAGAGGGAGTAAGTCCGGCTGTGCAGGTTTGGTCGCTGCTGGCCCTGCACCGGCTGGGGCACGGGACCAAGCGGAAGGGGGCAGGGTGAGGGGAAAGAAGGAGACGGGGCCGTTGCTGATCCCTGACAGGATGAAGACTGGCTGTCGGGATACGGTACAAGGGCGAGGCAAACCGGGGCGCCAGTGCGACGCGCAGGTTCTGTGTGGGTGGGTGGTGCCGGGGGGGGGAGGGGATTACATGCCGGTCAAGGAAGAAGAACAACGTTCGGGAGGACGGGAACTGAGGGAAAGCCGGGTTTTCGCGGTGGTACGGCGGGAGCTATCCGCAGCTTGACAAGGAGGGTTTGGAACTTTGCAACGGCAACGCAAGCAGATTGGGGGATTGGGTGCTTGGAGAATTGACGAGGGCTACTGGTACGCCTTTGCCACGGCTGCATCGACACTTCTGCAGCATCAGGAGCCCAATTGGGCGGCTGGCAAAGCATCTTTGCTGCCCTGTCTACGTGCCGTTTGGTTACTTGCCTCGCGGGATTTTTGTCCATCGGCAAGTACTGCAGCTTCAATTCTATGACGATTGGGCTGTGCAGGACCTCTTCGTGCAGCTCTCCCCTGTTGCTGCCTTCCCTCCGCGTTCCGTCCCCCACCGGGCGGTTGGATCGTCCAAATTTGCATTGCATGTAATTCCCCCCTGCCTGTATTGCTCTTTCACTTTCCCCCTTGTGGAATGGAACCCACGCGCTCCCGTCAGATCCAAGCGGACGCGTGGCTCTTCAGCTGTCCCTGCTGATCACCAACATCGCCCGGTTTGATTTTCCGGGGCGAGCGGAGAACCTGCTGCAGGTAACTGTTCCGGTTGGGTGTGTGGAAAATATCACCTCCTGGGTAAATTGTGTGGGTGGAATGTCGGCGTGTGTGGATTCAGAGGAGGCGGCGTTGTTTTCCGTCTCCTGAAGTGGACGTCTTGCCCCGCCCAGCCGCGTGATGGAGGCAGGCAGCTGGGCGCCAGGGGCGGCATTGCTTCTGTCTTTTGCTCCTGTGGCCCCCGCAGGGGGAGGCTGGGCCGAGGGGCCTACCTGGTCTGAACCGTCTGTTCCGCCCGCTTTGCCTGCACCGCGCTTGGCACTCTCTACTCGTGTTTCTTTCTTTACGTTACAAGTTACAAGTTCCGCACACAAGTGCGGGTGTGTCCGTAAAAGCCGGGGGGCCCATGGACGTTGTATTGGTATTGATGCGGGTACGCGGGAGGTCATTTTCATTCTCCCTCGTGCGCTTCAGGGCGAAGCACCTCAGCGCGATGTGCCTGGCCTCCCAAATACGGATACGTAATCATCCGCTCTCTCCTCTTTCCTGATTCTTCTCTACTGTAGTATCCGTTTCCTCGCGTGTATAGCTCATCACTCCTCTCATCAATCTCTCTATGCATCTCTATCTCGCTCTTTTCCCGGGCATTTCGTGAACGGTGTACCATCCTGCTGTGTGCTGATTTGTCTCCTCCCTCCCCCGCATCTTCCGTTCTACCTCCCTCGCTCCTTTCGCCTTGGACTCCAGCATTTTGTGGCTTTGGACGTCCGGAACTGGTTCTGTATTCCTAGCATGTGATACCCCACCTGCCTCCTCTCCCTGACTCTGCACATGCTATCCTTCGGCTCCCTGCCTGTCCTCAGATGCTGCTGTGCGCCGCCGGTTGGGAGGCCCCGCTCGCCCCCGCCATCAAGTTCCGGGTGCTCAAGGCGCTCAAGAGGGTCCTGCAGGGACTCAGCTCCAAGCGCTTCGTCATCGAGGCCCCGGCTCCCGGGGCGGCAAGTACACCACTGGCGATACCGGGTGTGTGGGGGCCGGGGGAGGGGGGGCGGGGGACGGACCGGGTGTGCTGAAGAGAGAGATATTTTTGAATATTAAAAGTTCTGGTGGGGGAGGGAGGGAAGGGTCACCCTTGAATGCCGCTGAAGCAGGGCGTATGTCAACGCTGGTCGTGTTCGGTCATTCACCTAATTGAAAACATACCTCGTGATGAAGCTGTACCCGTGGTGCAGCGCCCAGTCATCGCACGTGCCGCAAGCTTCATTTGCGTGAAGTCCCAACTTCATTCCCCTCTCGGCCACTCTTCGAGCACAGCGTGCCGCCTATCTTATCCTATCCTATCAGGCCCTTTTTCTCTCCCATCAACACTCACTCTTCGCACTGCCTCCCCCCCACACACAAACATACCGTTGACGTGTCTATCTGTCAGATCTGTCTGCTCTGTCCGCACGGATCAACGCCGAGCGGGCTCTGTTCAAGGCCCGGCTGGCGGACTGCTTTGCACCGCTGCACTCGCTGCTCACGCAGACCGCAGCCAAGTTCATGGAAGGTATGTGGCGGGTAGGGGGTTTGAAGGTGGGCGCGTGAGCAGGGTGCATGTGGCCCGGGTGGTCCTGGTGGGTCAAAACATACATACGTACGTACATACTTACATACTTATTCAGGTTGGTGCTTTGGGCGCCCGAAGTTTTTTCCCTTCTCGACTTGTGCACTATCATCGTAGGATTTTCCCCCCCTCCTTCCCTCTCCGGCCTGCAGGCTCCCTCAATTGGGACGCCGCGGGGCCCTTCGCCGCAGCGGCAGCGGCCTGTCTGCAGGCGCTGCTCTACCTGACCCCCACCCTGCAGGACGACCTGGCCCCGGGGACGGAGGATGTACTGCAGGCAATACACGTAGGCTGTACCACCGTACAGCGGGGCCCGCCACAAAGTAGGTATTGGTTTATATTCTTTCATAGATCCAGTGTTGTGGTGGTCTGGGTGGTTGGGCCCTTACCACCGCGCACTGCCCAACTGCACACAGACTCCAGCGACTGTGGAGTATGTCGCGATGGGGTGGGAGATGGGGTGGGGCGTTGTGGAGTTCAACCCCGGGTTGAGTAGGATGTACATCAGGGGGGGGGCCAAGTGGTCGGTCGGTTTAGGCGGTGACATCACGCTGGGGCCTAAATTAGTTTCTTGTTGTAGCACTCTTTCTGTTGCGGTGCGAATGTCACTTAGCGGCCTTCTCCCGGGCGCTGCTGCTGATCCGCTATGGCTACTGCTGCTGCTGCCGGTGCTGCTGCAGCTATCCCGCCGGCTCAAAGGGAGCAGTGGCTGGAACAGGGCGGCAAGCTGTACGAACGGTTGGCGGCACTGGCGATCGCGTACCTGGAAACGGCAGCGCTGCCGTTCGCGCAGTACGTGCCGTACTTCCTGGACTTGTTCGTACAGGTAGGGCCGAGCTGCTTCCATTTAAGGCTGGGTTGGGGGCAGAACGGCGACTAAACGAGGGACTTAAATAATGCTGATGCCGCTGCGGCGGCCGCGTATCATTACCCATGTCTCCCCGCCTCCCTCTTCCTCTGCCACACGACGGGGCGAGCACCCCGCCGATCCCTTTTGTCGCTTTTGATGCGGTAGCACTTTTCCTTCCCTACCGCTGCCGGCAGGCCTTGCCCCTTGCATTCCTCTCTGCGTACCGATGCCAGGCAGCGCCGCCGCCTCCGCTGTACCCTTGCTCTTTCCACCCTCCCTCCATTCACCGTCTCCTTCATCTCCCTCCCCGCCGTACAGCCACCCACCCCCATGACCACCCGCGCACCGGCCCCCCCCTCCACCATTCCCACCTGCTCGCCCGGTTCCAGTCTGCGCTCATCGGTCTGGACGCCGCCACTGTCCGCGCCATGCGACCCAAGCGACGGGTGCTGCTGGTGCGCTTCATCTCCCGGGCCCTGCTGACGCCCTTCTACCGGCAGGAGTGGGTGGAGGCGCCGGTGCCAGGTAGGTGGGTGGCCGGGGGAGGTGGGGTGGGGTGGGGTGGGGGTGTCCAGTCGTTCCAATCCCTCAGCGCCCCGCGCACATCCCTACCGATATCTCTCCCCGTCCTTCCTGCTGCGGTGTATGTATGCACACCACCCCTACCCCCAACCCCCCTCCAGTTGCCCTAACTGCCGTACAGTCCCATTCGGGGAACATCCCGCTTTCCTCGTCGGCCTCCCCCCCTCCTGGCCCCCACCCCCAGCAGTGTGAGCACTCTGAGGCGGTTTCAGACTTTGGACGCCTTCCGCACGGCTCCCCATCTTTGGTTTCCTTGCATATGTTTACCCCCACCCCCTTCTCCCCCCACCCCACACACACTACTCGCCCCTTACGACAGCTACCACCGTCCCCGGTCCCGTCCGTTTCTTCCCTTGTTACCCGTTACCTGTTACCATCTCACCAGCCCGCACCCCCCCCCGGGAACTCTCCACTTTAAGGTGGGGTTTTACAGGCTTAGGACAGGCGTGATGGCTTAGCACACGATGACTCCCCCCCACCCCTGGCCTCTCTCTTCCCCCCCGCTTCCCCCCTTCCCTTCCAGCCGGCCTCCCCGCGGAGCAGCTGTCCCGGCTGATGGAGAGCCGTGCTCGCGCCGCCCGCGCACACGCCGCTCTGTCCGCTCTGCTGTCGGGCCCCACCTGCACCGCCCTGGTGGAGGCGCTGGTGTCCAAGTATGTGGCGCTCAGCGGGGAGGAGCTGGAGGAGTGGAGGGAGGACCCGGAGTCGTATGCGCGGTGAGGAGGGAGGAGGAGGGGGAAGGGCCGGGAGAGGGGGAGGTATGTGCGTGTGTGTGTTTCCCGTTTCTACGTGAACCAAGGGAGGATACCCTCGGACAAGATACCTCTCCCTGCTGGTGGCTTGTCCTAGTACCTTTATAAGCCGCTTGGATGCGGTGACGGTTGCATGTGTTTTCCCTCTCTCGCTGCTCCTTTTGAGTCACAGTCCGCAGCCTCGTTTGGGTCTTCCCCGTTCTTTTGACCGCCGCGTCTGCACAGCAGATTCCATCAGACTTCCACTACATCCATTTCTTTCCCTACTTTCCCCTCTCTCACCCTTCCAACGCGCGCGTGTGTACGTATACATGTATGTATGTATGCATACGTATCCTTACAGCACCATGGAGGTCGAGTCCGGTCCCGATGCCGACACGCCCCGGCCCATTGGTGTGGGTCTGTTGCTGTGTATGTTGGAGCACGGCGGTGAGGGGGTGGCGGTGGTGCTGCTGGGGCTGGCGTCAGCACTGCAGCAGAGGGCCCCTGGTGCGGAGGCGCTGCTGATGAGGGAGGCGTGCTACCGGTGGGTCGGGGGTTGCAGGGGATGGGGTTGAGGAGGTTGGGATGGTAGTGGGGTCGGGGGGTTTACTTGAGGGTTGGGGGTTGGGGGAGTAGGGCATGGGGCCGCGTGGCCGTGTGCGTTGTGGAGGGTGTACAAGAGGACTTTGTTGGTTTGGATGGGTGAGTGGTAGTGGGCGGGAGGAAACGGAGTCTGTTGAGCTGATGTGGTGTTCATTTTTTGCGGTGGTGTGTGTATGGTTTTAGATTTAGAGGTATGGGGGAGTCTCCCACTGCGTTGGTTTGATCAGGGGAGCCCCTCTCCGCTGCACTCCACACACACACGCATACGAGGAGGCAATAGGGGTTAGTGCGTTCCCTCCCTTCCTACCTACCTACCGCCCTCCCGGCAATTCGCATTCCATTAGTACCTTGATTTTCTGATCCCTTTCGTCGCCTTCCCACGCCCTTCCCTCCTCCCCCGGCCCGCGCAGCTGCATCGGTGAGGGCTTCAACCACGTCTCTTCCCACGTCAACTTCGCCGCTTGGTACACCTCAGAGCTGGCACCCCTGCTCACGGCCAATGCACCGCCGCCGCCGCCGCCAGGTGCGCAGGCGCCGCCGCCGCCCACGGCCATCGGCGGTGGCGCCAGTGGCGGCGAGCAGGCTCTGCTTGCGGCTGTCCTCGCTGCTCGTGCGCTGTGGCTGCTGGGCGTGTGCGGTCAGGAGCTCCCCGGTGTGCTGCTGGGGGGGGCCTACCAGCTGTGTGTATGCTACCTGGCTGCGGAGGATGTGGTGGTGGGTGACTGCGGGTGGTGGGGAAGTGGGGAAAGTACCGGTGTTACTGGGTGGTAGGGGTTGGCGGGTGAGGGCCCAGCGGCGGGGGGTGTCTTGATGCGTGCCTGTTGCTGTGTGAGGGTCGCGAAGAGTGGGGAAGCGGGCACAGCGGGTGAGGGGTGTAGGGGCCCGGGGAGCCGCCGTGCGTCCAATATGTTCTGTGCTGAGGGTTATATAATAATATACAAGGTTAATACATATTAATCTATAACATATATATTCAAGGGCTTCACTCAGCGAGCCGGGTGTCCCTTATCTACATGAGGGGTACTTGTGAGGGGGGGGTTGTGTGTTCCATGTATATACATGTGTAAATGTGTTATGTCCATAAAACACATCACGAAAGACACTGGGAGATCTCCTTCACCTCACCCGCGGGCGTGGTTAGTGCCGCTTGCCCTTTTCCTTATCCCACCCCCGCATCCCCGATCCCCAACCCAGGTGGCCTTGTCTGCAGTGACATCTCTGTTGGGTTTGTTGAGTCTGGTGTTGGACGATCAGGCGGCGCTGGAGCAGCTGCGGGCGGCTCAGCGGGCGGCAGCGGGCCGGGGGGCAGCGGGGAGCCTGGTGGGGCGGGTGGACGCCATGCAGCTGGCGGAGAACGCGGCGGGGGCCCAAGGGGGGGACTCCGACCTGCAGGAGAACGCAAGTGAGTGGCACATCGAGGGGGAGCCTGGGGGGGAAGTGGGGGATGATGTTGTTGAAAGACAGGGAAGGCGGGGGAGAGGCTGGTCGGGGAGGAGGGAGGGGGTTCGGGGTATGCATGTGCATGTGTGACAAGTGCGGCAGGCTGGGCGTGGCGTGTGATGCTTTATGGCGGCGGGTTTGGGTGTTTGGAAAGCCGGTTGGCGACTGGGAGTGTAAAGGGACTGAAGGTGGTGAAGCGTGGTGGGGCTGGTTGCGAGTCGTCGAGCCTATCCGGTCCGTTTGAACCGGGGTCCGCGGCAAGGCAAGAGATGGTATGGCGTCTTAATGTTGTTTCGGCTGCGTACCAGCTTCGTGGCCTTTCCGGCACTGCCAACCCCAGCTTTCCCTCTCCCTTCTACTGCCACTCATTCCACCCAACTACCCGCCTCCTGCGCCTGCTCCACCTTCTGGGCCTCATCCGGAAGGCGCCATGGCCGAGGCCTCGGCCCGAGTGGAGAGCCGTCTCGCCTCCCTGTCGTCCGAGGTGACCGCTGCTGCGCTGCTCAACTGCTTCGGACTGCTGTCCCGGCTGCGGGAGGTGGAGAGCATGGTGCGGGTGCTGCAGCTGGTGTCGGTGCTGGTGGAGGTGAGAGCTGGAGGAACGGAGCAGCAATAACAGCAGCGGCAAGGAAGCACCCACGCGCGTATGTGTGTATCGATGTGTTGTAGGTAAAACCCCTCATGCCGCGCGGATGAAAGAGGGCAAGTAAGTTACAAGTTACAAATGCCGCACGGGGGGGGTCCGTCAAAGCCGGGAGGCCATGGACGATATATATTGAAAGTTGATTATACCGTACGACCGACGGCGGTTTGGGTCCTGTCAACTAGACCCCTCCTCACCCGACATTCGTAGAGACAGATCAGCCATCACCACCATCTCAGCATGCGAAACTCAGTCCATCAACTAGACCTCATCTCCACACCTCAGCAGCGTTAGTAAACCTCGACCTCCCGAACAATGTCGGGGGTCTGACCAGGAATCGAACCCGGAACCTTCATATACACAAAGGCGCCACCAGACCAGACCAAGTAAGGGGGAAGACAAACGACGTGAGGGCAAGGCCCAATAACAACCCAAAGCATAGAAAAACATTCATGTAGGTGTGTATGTATATATGTGTAAAATACGTGCTGCGGAGCCATCAGCAACCCAATTCACAATCGCACTCCCCACCATCCGCGAGTCGTGGTTCGTCTTTCCCCACTATCCGCATCACCTATTTTAGGTTGGCTCAGGGGACTGGCCTTTTAACCGCCCACCCCATCTCGTTCCTGTTATCCCGAGCCCCCCGTCGCTCCGTTACACTATTCTTACAATGGTGCTCATGTCCCTGTACTAAGGGCCTTCACGGCCTCCGCGGCTTTCCTGCCTGCCTAATTAGGCGCTTGGGGAGCGCATCCGGCCACATCTGGGTATCATCGCCGCTGGTCTGCCTCAAGTCTGGTCCCGAGCGGAGGTCCTCTCCGCTGCCGCCGCCTCCGCCGCCGCCTCGTCGTCCCTCCTGGACAAGGCCAGCGGCTCAGCGCGTAAGCGCAACGGCGCCGGCGGCGTGAATGCCGAAGCTGCAGGGTCACAGACGGCGACGGCGACGACGCCTTCGGCGTCGGCCCGCAGTAAGCCTGGCGCGTTGGCGGCGGGCCGCGGCGACAGCGCCGGCGGCGGCGAGGCGGGTGCGGTTGTACGTCTGCACAGTGCGCTGATTGCGGTGCTGACCCACTTGGTAGGCAAGCTGCGGACGGTGGCGCTTGAGGACCCCAACATCTGCGGAGTGGTGTTCCCGCTGCTCAAGTACTCGACCCGTGTGGGTGAGCACGGCACCCCGTGGATATTGGCGTTGCTGTGTCCTTATCGCAACAGAACCCCCGCCCGCACCCAACTTGGCTTCGTGAATCATCCCCTCCCTTTCCCTATGACCTCCCCAACCGCTGGTTCACATATAGTGCGTCAGAGTCCGAGTTGGCGGTCTTGGGGCTTCCTTCTACTACTCCCCTTCCGCACCCTGTCGCGCGCGCTCCTGACCGGGCGCTTTGGATGTGAGGGGCAGCTGGTTCTCTTACGTCTTGCATCATATGATTTCCTCCTACCGCCCACCTCTTCATCTTCCTGCAACTGCAACTGCTGCTGCTATTGCTGCTGTTACTGCTGCATCTCTCGTCCCTCAGGCTCCCCGGAGAGTGAGGTGTTGGTGGACGAGGCCTTCCGCTTGTGGTCCGTCACTATCGCCTCCCTGCCCGCTGTACCCCCCCAGCTGAGGGAGCTACTGCCCAACGCGGCGGCGCTACTGCGGCGGGGGAGAGACGCGGCGGCGCTGCTGCCGCTGCTGGAGGTATGGGCAGAGAGGAGGGCGCAGGGAACCGAGGACCGGGGAAGATGCAAAAATAAATGAAGCGGCGTGGGACAGCTTTGGTGTGCGTATGTGAACGCATTTTTGCTTTGCTGGCTTTGCTGTTGGAAAAGATCATTTCACTGCCGTGGGGGGGTCTCATGGCACAGACCCCGTGATGGCCACTGCCCCGGTTTTCCTAAAAGCAGAAAGCAGTCCAGAGGCTAATGCATGAGCGGGTCTGTGTGTTGGGTTTTCCGTGCAGGCGTATTTGCTGCTCGACGCGGCCGACAGTCTCCGACCGTTAACTGCCGATATGGGCCGTGCACTGGAGGCTTCCATTACCTCAACTGCTAATGCCGTACTCGGGGCCGTCGGCGTGCCCACGGCGCCTGCCGGCACGACAGCGCCTTCGGCAGGTGCGCCGCCAGGCGGGGCTCCAAGCACAGGAGGCGGCGGTGCGGGCTCCGGCGTCGCCATCCCGCTCTCCCCCGAGACGCCCGCGGAGGCGATGGCGGCAGCGGCGCTGATCGACGTACTGCTGCAGCTGTTTCCTCCAGGGAATTTCCCGGCGTTGGCGGCAGCGCCGCAGCCGGCACAACACGGTCCTGTGGTGGCATTGGTGGCGCCGGCACTTCGCGCCATGGCGGCACTTCTGGCGCACCCTGCCGTCCCTTCCGCGGGCCTCAATGTCAAAATCATCAACATTTTCGAGGGCTTCCTGGAAGTCCTTGGCCGTCTGTGGCTGCTCTCTCCCACCACCTTCCCCGAGCTGGTGGCGGGCCTGGGCGCCTCTGCCGCCGGAGCCGGCGGTGGCGACGGCGGTGCCGCCGGCCAGGACGCGGGCGGCCCAGGCGGCGACGGCGGCGGGGCTGTTGACCGGCTGTTGGACCGGTGGCTCACGATCGCCTCTGCGCGGTTCCTTGAGGAGGTTGTGGGTGAGGACAAGATGACGTGTGATGCTGAGTACAGCCGTCACAACTGCTTGACCAGCTAAATTGTGTCACCATATTCCTTTCCATCACCTGCTTGTATCTCCTGAATCGCAAATGGTTTCTTGGCCTGTTTAGAGGTCTATTAGTCGTCATTGTGTCCGTGTATATTCTCATCTACATGTACTTCCTTGTATGATGTGAGAAACAGGGGGGTGTATCTTCGCCCGTGGCAGCCACCCTGCGAAACCCTGCCTTCCCCGGTATTTCGGGGCACCCTCATCCAGTCACCCTAGTCAACATCTCAGTGGATCGCTCAGGTTCCGCACCCACCACTAGCATCCAACGGAATCTGCCGGGTCGACAGCGGCCCAACTGCGTTCCTGGTCGGCTCGCAGGTTAACTTTATCCCTGGTCACCACCGTCCATCAACTAGGGGCGCAATGCCTTCCACCATCGGAAGGACTTTGACCCTAATGGGTATCGATCCCGAGATCTCCCGGAGGCAATGGTCGCGCCTTACCAGTAGTGCCAAACCCTATATATGCTCATATTGTATATATGCTCATACATACATATGCTCATATATACATATGCTTGGATGAGCGACGCAATTTCTTGACGTCCTGGACCGATGCATCCTCTCAGCGCCACCTTGGCTGTTTGGGGCCTTGGTGGAGGTTTACAGGCCCCGTTCGTTATTTCCCCATTCCCCCGCCCACCCACTCCATCCCTACCTCCCGCACCCTATACACCCCCCTCAGGTGTCAAGACCATGTCCATGTTGGGTCGCTTCCGGCGGCGGATGGCCACCATGTCCCTGTCCTCGCTGCTGATGGCTGGGTGCTGTGAACAGCTGTACGAGCCGCAAAAGCTGCTGAGGTTGTGTAACTTGGCAGTTCAGGTGCGTGTGGCAGTACAGGTGGCTCTCACTTGTGCCGTTGTCATACTCAGCCCAGCCCTGCCCATCCTTCCCAGTTTCTTATCCCTTCATCCTCCCCACTCCCCCTCACCTCGCCGTAACCCACCCGACTTGATGCCGCCCTCAGGCACTGGCTGACGATTCGGAGTTCTCCGCCGACCAGACAGAGCTGGACTCCCTGGACTTCACCACCGACCTGGCAGCTGATACGGTGCTGGCGCGGCGGCTGGCCATTACACGGGCGGATCCGGTGCGGAAGGTGGATGTGCACGAGTGCGTGAGGAGCCTGATGAACAAGGTGAGAGTGCGTGGTGGTTGCTGGGGTGGATGTGCGGTGGCTGGCGGGGGCGCGAGTACAGGGGTTGAGAAGAGGGGGGGAGAAGAGCGGAGCTGGAAGTCGAAGGAGAGAGATTACGTAACCTTGTCTGTCTCATTGCGTTGAAGGCGCGCATGATCATGACAGCTTGATTATTCAGTGAAGCGTATTGAGTGGACGCCGTGTGCAGATCGCGTCCTCGTTACGTCTTCTCGGTAGCGGGGTCCTCACGCGAAATCAGCAGCGTCCTCTCCACTTCTGCACAACAAACACAACCCGCCTCCCGCTCTGTAGGTTTGCGGTCTTTCATGGTCCGTTTGGGCCCTTGGGGAACGAATGACACAATGCATGAACCGGTGTGTTAAGACGCCGAATCTCTCTGCTCTTACTGCCCCCACCTTCATGGCCGCGCAACTGCCCTTTTTTCCTCTCGCCGCAGCTGCTTCCTCTTCTCAGTAATCCAACCGCTTTCGGCCCCCCTTCCACTTCCCCCCTACCGCCGCGCCCCCGGCTTTCCGTCTTCCTTTCCACCCGTCGTTACCAACTCCTGCTTCGCCTCCCCGTTTTTCCGCACGCACGTACAATACACCCACCACCATCCCAGGTGGCGGAGCGAGCTGGCGGTCCGGAGGCCTTCTTATCCGCGCTGGCAACACACGGCGCATCGGACAGATTGCGCGCTCAGCTGGCTGCCGTACTCAGCGGTCAGCGCATCCGAGCCGGCGGCGTCATCGACGGCGAGGAGCCGGAGGACAGCGCTGACCCCGCCGATGACGACGAGCTGTACGACATGCTGCCGGCGATGAGCGAGGGTGGCGTGCCGTTTGCCTCGTCAGGATCGACCCCCGACTGAGTGCATCAGTGTCGGAGGAGGAGGGCTGTTAGGAGGGGGATGTGTTTTTTGGGCCCTCAGCCTGGGGCTGGGGCCGGTGCTGGGGTCGCTGGTGGGCCAGGTCGGGAGATCGGACGTGTCGGGTGGTATTCCACGTACATGTATGGGCGATGTGTGGGAGTGCAGCGACAGCAGATAAGAGGAACAAACTCATACAGGTCCGCGGGCAGAAGTGCCTGTGAGGATCGCAAGTGCTTGGGGAAGTGCTGTCAAAGCGGAACATGTTTATGCGTACTCATTACGTGCAGCTGGTTTTTGCGATTTGGGTTTGTTTAAGCATAGGTCAAGCGGGTCAACGGCTAGGTCGAGGCAGACCCCGGGGTTGGCTGTCGGATAGCAATGGCCCTTTGGATTGGTAGATTAGCTCGTGGGTGAGGGACTGGGTAACGTACTCCCTGGCTTACGGGGAATGAAGACGGATTCGGGTAGATGTAGCGGCGTGGTGGTGATGGTTGGTGGGTGGTTCATGGCGAGCTTCACTTAGTTAGGGATGTAGGAACACAGCCTGGATGAAGGCCTGATGGCTGACTGGAGGCATTACTGAGGCAGGAGAGAGCTCCTTTATGGCCTCTTCATGGTTCAGCACTACAAGAGCAACAAAACGCACGATGCGCGCGCGTCTGGAGGGAAATGGCTGCCGCGGCTGTCCCTGCTGGCGGAAGGAGAAAAGGATTAGGGGAGCTCCGGACTTTGCCACAATCTCTACTTACCTTGCGTTTGAGCTGTCCTTTGCTCTTTTGATCCTCTGCTCGGGATTTTATCCTTTTGACGATGTTGCCCGCCGCCCTGCCATATGTTCACCGGGAGTGTGACACTCAAGCCATGTCCGGAACCACCTCGGGGTCTCGGTCGGAACCCCGCCAGGAACCATCTGGGTCGGAGCCCGCAGCAAGATCGTAAATCTGGATTTAGATTCACATGGGTGTTAATGCGTTGGGGATACTTGACTGTCCCTACCCAGTACTGTTTTTCCTCCTGTGGTGAGGAGCTGGTGCTATGGGCTGGGTATCAGTCGAATCCGGGACCAGACAGCGCCGCCGCTCAATGAAACCACGCAGGCCTAGATAGTCTTGTGGGGGTAGTTGACGGGTCGGCGGATAGGTGCCCGGGGGGGCGGGCCACTAGGAGGCGACTGCAGAGCAGCGCTTCTGTTATCGGGTGCTGGCTAGGTAGATGACGGGCTTTTGCAAGCATGCGTGGATGGGTTGCCGAAGAGTAAACATGCTGGATGGCTTCGACTGGTTGACGAGGAGCCCGGCTCGCCACCTGTCTGTGCGGGGGGAAGAGGTTGCTGGCTGGGGGGTGTTGTGCGGTGTGGATCTGTGTTGATAACCGTTGCGGATGTATGCATCTGTGTGCTAAGAAGCCTGAGATAGTGAAGAAAGCCTCGCATGGCCGAGGGTGCCGAAATGGCCCACTGCTCGTGCTGAGCATTGGTAATAGCAAAATAAGGCAATTGGTATGCAGAAATTGTAATTTGAAAGGAAAATTCTGGAAATACTGCACAGTGCCTCCGAGGACAGTCACTGCTGGTCTTGCGGGCAGCTACCTGCGTAGCGTGTCCATCTGCGTTTCGTTCCCTTAGGACTGCAACCGCAAAAGGGACGAAACCAAGACGTTTTAAAAACAAGATCGCAGACGCCGCGCGGAGGTGAAGGTGTGTTAAGGCGCAACGTTCTGCGGTCGGGCGTGTTACCTAAGGCCCCTGAGTGAGGATGGACGAAATCGCACGATCGATTTTGACGTGAGTTACATAGAAGGGGGCGAGAAAGTCTGAAATGATTTGGAATGGGTGCACGGTAGGGTGGCGGCAGTCAACCTTGGGACGAGAGAGAATGAAATCCGAAGGCGATAGCCATTTCATTACAATGAAATGCATCTCGCCGTACAAGCTCATCTTCAGTCACGAGTAGAAGTGGCGCACGGATGGTGCCGATTCGCATGTCCAGAAAGGCATGGGCTTCTGCCGTGCAACCTGCAAGAAACATGAATCCGCTGGCAACTAATGTGTGAAAGTTACTGTATCCTGTTCTACGGTTACTACACATGTAAATTGTTACGGTGCTAAGAAGCGACGGGTTACGCGTGCAAGCAGAACCGAACAACGACGACGGCATCCGGATGCTCGGGGCAGGGTGAGCCGCGAATTTGCACTTTTGTAATGGCTTTCCCGATGTATAACCGGGAGCTAACGCATCGGCCGTGTTTGCCGTGGTGGATTCCTACTCGGCTAACCTGCTCGGTTGCTCTCATCACAGGGCAAACTGGGCTGATGAAGTGGAAGAAGAAGTGAGTAACATTCTCCTAACATATATGTGCCATGTATGTTGCAAGCACGTTAAACTATGGGCTCATGGCTCAACTCCGTCCCTGCAGGAAACATGATCCCGCTGACGAATCTCACGCTGCCTGTATGTAGGAGTCGCTGCGCGGCGCAGTTTTTCCTCGGGTGGTAGCCCCAAGCGAGCCGAGCCCGGCGCGGAATGCGGCCATCACAGTGTCCACCGACGATGGGAATTTACGTGCCACCAAAGATGCACGGTAAAGCGTTCGTCTTCTTACACCTGAAAGAACTTTCGACAGCACACATGCGGTGCGACCTGATGCTGACGTATGAACCTCACCCAACTTCCCTGCCCGCTCGTCCAGGCCGCGAGGTGAGGCCAGCCCAGGCTTGACAGCCAGCGCTCAGCGAACCAGCCAAACAACTGAAACTCCCGTAATCGCCACAACTCATGTCAGCTCCGATAACCACACGGCACAAACTAGCCGCGGCAACGGTCCCACGCATTATGGGGCAACCGCATCCCCAGCGCCGGCGCCACCAGCAACGGCAGGCTCTGAAATCATGCCGGGATCCACGCCAGGCGCGCATGCACAGCCTGCTGCCGCTGGGGCTTCAGCTTCGACAGATGCTCGTACCAACGGCGTTGCAATCGCCGCGTCGGAGGCCGCTGCTGCTGCTGCTGGAGACGCAGGCGCCCAATGTGGCCCCAAGGAAGTGGCATCAGATGGTGATGGCGACACCATGAAAGCCGCCGATCGATCCCTCGACCCGGCCACCGCTACAGTGGCGGTAGTGTCGTCGGCGTCGAAACCAACTGTCGCCGAGCAGCTGTCCGCTGGTAGCGGCGACTCTGCCGCTGTTCCGACACCCTCGAATACGAATGGGAATGTGAACGGCTCGGCGGTGATGATCTCCGACAGCTCTGTGGCGGAGATGGCAACGGCGCTGCGGGCCGTGGCGGAGGATGCAGCTCGGCAGTATTGCAACGCTGTTGTGGTGGCGGCGGGTTCCTGGCTGGCGGGTCTGGCTGGCGGACTGGCGGCGGCGGTGGCAGCGGCCGCGGAGGAGCATATCAGGAAGCTGGTACGGCACAGGGACAAACAGCCGGGAGCTCCGGAGCCCATTTCTGTCAGTTTCTAGACCTGCGGGATATCCCAACGAGGGCTCCCTACGCGGTTTGCGTGTGGGCTTCGTTTTGTTCCCCCTTGTCCTTCTCCCCCTTCCCCCCTCCCAAGAACGCCTTTTGGTCAGTTCTACGTCTGGTACACTCTTGCCCTGGCAGCAGCTTCACTCGTTCGTGGTTCGTCTTTCACCTCTGGCTTTCTGGCGTATTCACTCTATCCTTGGTCTTAGCTTCAGTCGTTCGTGGCTCGTCTTTCCCCTCGCTCCCAACCTCCACCCTTCTATTTCCCTGTTCGCCCCAACGGCCCCAACCACTTCGGACGAGGCTCTAACTCCCAACTCACTCAACGGCCGATTACCCCGATGCAGTCGCCTGCTGTCGCTGCGGAGCTTCCCCCCGACTGGGCCGGCCAACTCGGCGACTCGCTGCAAGCGGGCCTGGCCAGTTGGACCGCGTCCCCCTTACCCGCCTCCTGCCCGGGGGGTCCGGGGGCTCAGGCGCTGCAGGACGCACAGAGTCAGCTGCACAGGGCAGTGCAAGGGGCGGTGCAGGGCTTGGCATTGCCGGGGGTATCATCGCAGCCTGGGCCTCCGTCGCGGCAGCTGCAGCAACAAGGCGGCGGCCGTAGCGGAGGCGGTGGTGGAGGCGGCGGCGGCAGACGCAATGGCACGAGGGATCAACAGCAGCGCAGCGGTGGCGGTGGTGGCGGTGGGCGGGATCGCGACCGAGGGCGGGATCGCGATCGGGACCAAGAGTCGGGTCCCGCGGCTGGCGGAGGTGGGGGGCCGGCGGGTGGGGGTGGCAGCCGTGGCGGCCGGCGGGATGGTAGCATGAGTGGCGGCGGCGGCGGCGTTGGAGAACACCGCCGCGGTGGCGGCGGCGGCGGCACTCGGGGAGACCGTGGCCGGGGAGGCGGTGGCGGCGGCGGCGCTGCCATCGGGCCTGACACTGACGCCGCTGGCCCTCCGCAGCATCGCTTCGGTGACCGGGGCTTCATGCATGACGACCGCGACCTGGTTGAACCCGGGGAGAACAACCCCGGGGGGGGAGGAGGAGGGGGCAGTAACAGCAGCAGCTGGCGTCGCCGTCGCGATGAAGAGGCGGACGGTGGCGGTGCACCCGGCAGCAGTCAAGGCAAGGTGAGTCCGCGACACGCGACCTATGTCCCCCATCTTGACCTCCCCCACTAGGCTGCAGCTCCCCGCTCGCTGAGATCAGGCCTTCCGCCTCCCTTTCGGTTGCTGTGTCCAACCAACTTTCAACCGCTCCCCTGCGGACCCCGGCTCCAGTTTCCCCACACACCCCTGCCTTCCCCCACCTTCACTCCCTCCTCTCCCTTCTCCCATGTCTCCAGGGAGGGCCCCTGGATGAGCGGGTATCAGGAGCAGCTCAGCAGCAGGGCCCCCCCCGGAAGGTCAAGGCGGGGCACCAGGCCTATACACCACCTGCACGCAGGGCGGGGGACAGGCAGGCGGGTGAGTGTATGAGCGGGCGTGTGTGTGCGTGCGGGGGGGGGAACAGGCGGCCTCCGGGGACAGGAGTGAGCGGCCTAGGCGGCTCCTAGGTTGCAGCAGCCGCCGGTTGTGGCTTTGTAAACGAGTGCGGCTGCGGCTTGGGGAGGTCTGGGTGGTTGGCTTGTGCCCGCATGTCCACACGGGCCGCATTCTAATGCAGGTACTTTGAGGCTTCCCCCAGCACGACACGACCTAAGCCCGACCTGATTCAGACTTGCAACCCGCGTGCGCGCCGCATGTGTGCACCACGGGGCCCTCCCCTGGCCGTTCGCCCTTCAGTTGCTGTTCCCCACCCACCTGTCGGTTCCCTCCCGGATCCCCTGTACGTATTTATGTATGTGTGTCCGCAGGTGACGGAAACGGAGACGAGCAAGGGGGGGGAGGCGGTGAGGACTCCGCGGTCGGGTTGCCACCGGGGCTCGTAACTGCTGCCGGTGGGGGTGGGGGTGGGGGTGGGGGTGGGGGTCCCAGCCGCCGCGGCACACGTGATGGTGTCGTGCCGGAGCAGTAACCGCCGGGGGCCCCATACACACACAAAAAGCCACTCCACACCCTCGTCCGACCAGGTCGCCAAATACTCGCGTGTTGGTCTTTGGGATGTGGGTGGAGGGCGGGGGGGGTTATCGCAGGGGTTGGGGCACCGGGGGGGGTGTAGTCCCGTCCTTCCCCGCGCTCCTCCCCATCGCCACTGCAGCGCCGCCGTACAACGCCAGTGGGAGCGAGCAGGAGCATCCTCGCGGCTTGATGGCTGAGAGGGAGGGGAGGGGGGGAGGGCAAGCGGTCGCGAGCAGTGAACGCGGGTCGACTGCAGGGAGTCTCTTTCTTGTGCGTATCTAGGAGGGGTGAGGAGGTGCGTCGGAATGTCCTCTGTGTGTGCATGATGATGATTGTGCGTGTTGCGTGGGTGGAGGTGTCGGCGGTGTGTGTCTTGGCGCGATATGTGAAGTGATAATTGGGTCAATAGCTTAGATGGCCAACTGCCGAGCCAGCCAGCCAGCCAGCCAGGTGGACATGCTGCATAATAGTCGGTCGGGTGCTATGAGACCCGGTGCAGCTGCAGCATGGTCCTAGGACGAAAACCCGGGCATAGAGACCTACTGTGAATGTTGAGAAATGTACTGTCTGCTCCTGGGGAGCTTGGATCCTGGTGGGGGTGGGGGTGGGGAAATGGGGGTGAGACACGTCCAAACAAGACAGTGTTTGCATGCCGGCGGCGGCGGCGGCTGCATGCGACCGGCGGCAGTTGCGCAAATGTACCGGTTTTCGTTTTTTTATTCTTGAGGCAGTTATTCGTTAGCGGTCGACGGTTGTATGGGTTTTCAGCTGTTCTCACTCGCCTGAAATGCACATCACGCACACAGCCCGCAGCCCGCAGTTTACGACGCGGTGTCTCCACTTCTTTGCCTGACGGCCGACCGGACATCCACCGCTCTCGGCCAAATGAGAAAGTAGCTGCGTACGCTTCTCATACTCTACTACTATTACTACTATGACGACGACGACGACGTAACGGCTGATGGTGCGGATGGTCTGGGTTTGTGGTTTCCTCGAGATCCCCCCGATATGTGTGGGGGAAGGATTGTGCCATCTCCCTTTGTAACGTTTGTTTCCTTCTTCCCCGTGTGGTCGGAGTGCGTTGGCGCAATCGTGCTGGTCTCTTAGGGGGATCATCCGAAATATATCCCTGCTGCATATATCCCCCGTGGGACGACAGCATCGATATGCGTCCGTGGCGATACGGCCTCCTTGACGGGTGCAAGTAAAAGAGCCGACGCAATAAGAACTTTGCGCCCCGTTTAAACGCAGCCGCCATCATCATCATCATCATCATTATCATCATCAGGTGAAGACGCGTTTTCCGTTAGACCACCGCTATTGCTGCTGCTGCTTGCTGATTGTCCCTTTCTCCTGGCACCCAACTCTGTAGGTGCCGAACGAGCTCTAAGTTACAGGTTGCTGCAAACCGACCATAGAATTTACAAGTTGGGTCCATGCCTGGTGGTGTCCGATATGGTGAGGGGCCCTTTACTAACGGGTTACCTGAGGGACCAGTCGCGACCAACCCACTAAAGCTGAGTCACGCCAGCGCGCCGAAAACAAGATTCTTAGGTCCGATACATAGCGTCGTCGCAAGAGCTGCATCCGCTACTCGTTTGCGGCGGCCTACTGAAAGTGCACATTCCCGACGTGGCAGAGAGGCAAAGGACACGTAGGGAAGGTAGGGAGGAGTGTACGGCTGCAGGGTCGAGATTGTGAATGGTATGTGCGTGTATGATGAGCAGGGGAGATGCTGAGGTGCATACCTCAACAGTTGGTTGGTTGTATGGTGAAGACTGATGGGATTAAAGCCGGCGTACCAGCGAAACAACGGCCAACAACAACTCAACGACCTGCACAGAAACGGATAGAGGAATAACGCCGTTAGGCACCCGCATCGCAGGCGAAAAACAAGGGCTTTGGTAGGAAAACGTTTACGGACATTTGTCGCCTAAGTTACTCCAATTTTAGGACGCAGTTTCGCTGTAATGTCACGCACATCTCCATCCGCTCTGCGCGCCTGGCCATGGTGGCTATGGGCAGAACATTTCCTCCTTTTAGGATTTGCTGGATGGAATGCTGTAGGGCTCTGGCGCGTATTTAACCGCACAAGAAAGCAGACCCGCATAGCTAAAGCTTCCGATTTGCAACGTGCAGGAATCAGACCCCAGGTGTCCTTAGATGATAAGAGTGAACAGGAATTACAACACAAACCAGAGCCCGAAACCCCAAAGGCTTCTGGCCGGTCTCTGGGCGGCCTCGCAGACGGCTCAATTGCAATGGAGGTCATCTCCCGCGCAGTGCAGGCCTCCCTGGCTAGGCTCAAGTCGCTGTCGGGACCTTCGGACGTGTTAACTTGGTCCGATGTGACACCAGGGCCGCCGGCTAGCGTGGACATGAGAGCAGTGGCGGAGGGACAGGTGCGATACACCTCCACCCCGGTGGACGGGGCCTTTGGCAACGGCCTGACTGCGAAATGCGATCCCGAGGAAAGGCGGGATCTGGTGCATGTTAATTCGTGTTTGTCGACAGGGAATGTGTGGGCCCTGGGCCCCGCCCCTACGAGGGTGTGTGGCTGTCTCAGGGAAAGTGGTGGCGAAGGGGTGGAGGGCCCCAAAAGAGGGATATGGCGGTATAGAGCCGCCCTTTGGGGGGAACGTGGGTGGAATGAGGCAGATGATGTACGGGTGTACGGAGAAACGGACGCTCGCTGGCCGTTTCACAAACCTCAGAAGGGCGGGAAGGGGAAATCAGCTCTGGGCGGTTCGCGAATGAACTGCGTTGTTCCTTCTACCAACAATTGCTCGTCCTCAGATCTAAAAACGTTAACAGGTTTCTTATTTGGGCTGCTGCTGCTGCTGCTGCTGATGATGATCATGTTGGCGATGTTGCTGCTGCAGGCGGCTAGCTTCCTTGACGGCCGGGGGATCATTTACAAATTCAAGGTGGGGCGGGTGCAATCGGCAAGTAGCAGCCCAATGTAAGGACGCTAGGGGAGCCCTTCAACCCCTGCTCGCTCATCTTTTGACGCGTCCTTGAACCCCTTGGCATTGCTTGATCCCGGCTTGATGACGGCGGTGCTGGTGCTGGTGGTCGCTCCGGCGATAACCCACCTAGCTGGCGGAGGATGTGCACGTCAACATGTACTACACAAAGGCGGGCTTCCGACGCAGCGGCGATCTGCACAATTGCAACCAGTACGACGTCGTACTACGTGGTCGTACTCGCCTACGCATGATTGTGAGTAATGTAATACTGGGGAAGGGCGCTGCTGCCGCTGCTGGTTGCTACTGCTGCTGCTGCCCCTGCGCACACCGCCTCTCCCTCTCCCAACGACTCCTGCTACTGCTGTCTTCATTCGCTGTGCGTGTGTCTCTGTCTCCCTCCCAACCCTCCTCCTCCCCTCAGGACCCGCACACGGGTAGGGAGGTAGTTCAGGAGTACGGCGCCAACGACTTTATCGTTATACCGGCCAGGTGGGGTGGGAGGGGTTCAGCACGTCGCCACGTGGCGGATACGACCTCTGGGAGGGAGGGGAGGTGGAGCCCCCCTAGGGGGAGATAACGTCACTTCCATATAAGGACGTGCGTATCATATGATGTCAGCATTCGGACACGGATTGGGGAAGGGTAAAATGGTGAAGAGGGGGGAGGGGGCAGGGTAGGTTAACGGGGGGGGGACGGGTCCATAGGGCCCGGAAGGCTGCTGCCTCTGCTGCGAATCCACACCCATGTCTGCCGTGCGGTACCTGGTACGGCACATCTGTTGTACAGGACGCCGCACATGTTTGAGTTCCTTGAGGACAATTATTTGCTGGAATGGTGGGACGACACGTTTCGGGCCTGGTGGGTGCAGTACATTCGTACATACGTACGGTGTTGGGGCTTGGGGACTTACAGCGCAAGGGAGGTTCAGTTGGGATTTCCCCGGGCCCACATTACATCACCCCATAACGCACCCACATACATACATACATACATCTGGGCCTCGTGGGGCGGGCAGAAACCTGGGGCAGCCCCACCTCTGGATGGGGCTGATGGGCTGTGGGTTACAAGGTGTAGTCTTCTCTCTCCTCCTTTCTCCCTCGGGGCACACCGATGGGCACTTGAGGCCAGAGCTCTAGACTAAGGTCGCATTAGTTCAACTGCACCGTCACGTGCACGTACAGCCCTGGCCGCCCCTTGTCCTCACGTACGACACCACGGCAGGTACTACAAGCCGTACCGTACCGTCATTGAGCAGGGGCTGCCACTGGCGTACACGGCGGGCCGGGACTTCTCCACCCGCCTCCCCCCTCCCCCCCACCTGGAGTGAGAGGGAGTAAGAGGAGTGAGAGGGGGACCTCGGGAAGCCATTAGGGCGGTCGTGGAGGGAGTGCTTGGTGGGATTGGTGGGATTGGGGAAGGGGGGAAGCAGCGCTTCGCAGCCACGCGGGTGAGCGAGTGAACGTTGGGGAGAGCTAGCTGGGAGAGAAAAGGAGCTGGCAGTGCTGCCCCTGCTGGCCTGTCTGGACACCCCTCCAGGGGGGCTCTGCGTCCTATTGCCACTGCCCGGTGATCCATATCCGACGAGCAGCTCTCCTTCACCCGCTTCGTCCATATTGCCCCCGGGTTGGCGTTACGGGGCGGTTGGCAGTTGGCCGGCGTTACACTTTGGCTCCAGGACCGAAAAGGACGAAAAGAAGAGGCCAGGGCGGCGGCAGTCGGGCGTCCTCCTCGGCCGGCGGGGCCCGGGGGTGCTCACTCCTGCTTCGTGATATAGTCGTAACAGCTGTGTAATGTCTTATCTTATTGAGTGGCCTGAATAGGCTACATGGTGTACATGGTTATTTCTCACCACCAATGGCGGCGGGAGCTGCCGCCCCTGGGCTCTGCGGGCTCTTGTTCCCGCACCTGCCCCCACACCCGGGGGATCACCACCTCGTATATTCAGATAAAGTATTCGTACACCATGCCGTACACCATACCGCGGTGTTACTGGCCACGTGTAACCGTGTGTGTTTGTTTATTCTCATTACCCAGATTGCCCCAACCCCCCGTCATTACCCAGACTGCCCCACTCCCCGGGCCACCTGGAGCCATCCCGGGAGTCATACGTAACCGTTCGGGTCATGACACACGTCGTGCCCATGCGGAGGGCCAAACCCCCCAAAATTGTAAAGCCCGAAGGAAAGTCTCTCTCCAGAAAGAAACGATAAGTTACTATCAGAAGCATCAGAGCGCTGCCGTTTACACCAACAACAGTGTTCTGGTGAATTTGACTTTGTCGCAGTAACGCAGATAATAGCCGAGGTAGCGACCGACTTGCTGCAGGCGGAGCGGGACGGAAATACGATAACTGGCCCCCTCCCTCCTCTTCCCGGTCTGGGTCTTTCTGTAAAGCAAAGTTAACCCCCGCTAATCCCCCACAACCCTAACTACCCTCAGCATATAACCCGACACACCCATCAGTGCGCCCCAACCCACCCACAGCCCACCACCCGTCCCACCACAACTCCCTGAACCCCACATAAGGCCCATCACGCAGTCCGGTCCCGTTCGGTGAAGGCAGTGGCTCTCTGACGGCGGTCCAGGTCGTCATCGAGTCCGCGTGGGGGTTATGTACCGCGGGGCCGCCCCCCGTGCTCTCCGGTACTTTTTCCGGCTTTGCTAATCACGAGCGACCCTTTGATGCGTCAGTCACAAGCCCTTGTACGTACGTACGCATGTACGTAAAGTTAGGCCATTATTGCCAAGAGGGGAAAAGAGAGTGTGTGTGTATGTGGGTATGTGTGTAAGGGTGGGGTGCAAGGCCTAGGGCCCCCGGTGTACTGTCTGTCCTCCGTCCCCTCCCTCTACCCCTCCCTCCCCCCCTCCCCAACCACCCCGATGGGGGGGAAGAACAAGGCCTCGGTGTTGGTGTAGATCTGGTCCGCCAGCTCCCGCAGCTGCTCCTCCGCGCTCAGGCCCTTCACACCCGCGATCACCTCCAGCACATGCCTGTTATTGAGTGTAAGCATGTCAGTATGTCAGCCAGTCTGTATGTACGCCAGTCAGTCAGTCTGTATGTATGTGCGTGTGTGGAGTTGGGACGGGGGATGGGGGTTACCGTGGAAAAAAGGAATCACATGCGGCCACTTGCTGCTGGCCCAAACCCACTGGGGCAGAAACGTTGGTGGTTGTGTCGCGTCCCGCGTCGCGGCACCTCTCGTAACGGGCACCTCTCGTAACGGGCACCTCTCGTAACGGGCACCTCTCGTAACGGGCACCTCTCGTAACGGGCACCTCTCGTAACGGGCACCTCTCGTAACGGGCACCTCTCGTAACGGGCACCTCTCGTAACGGGCACCTCTCGTAACGGGCACCTCTCGTAACGGGCACCTCTCGTAACGGGCACCTCTCGTAACGGGCACCTCTCGTAACGGGCACCTCTCGTAACGGGCACCTCTCGTAACGGGCACCTCTCGTAACGGGCACCTCTCGTAACGGGCACCTCTCGTAACGGGCACCTCTCGTAACGGGCACCTCTCGTAACGGGCACCTCTCGTAACGGGCACCTCTCGTAACGGGCACCTCTCGTAACGGGCACCTCTCGTAACGGGCACCTCTCGTAACGGGCACCTCCCTCCCTCGGGGAGGACATCGCGACGCGGGTCGTTGTGTGGTCATTGCATGATGACTTGGCACTTATAGACAGTCGTTGTCAGTAGGGATGTATGTCAGCCGGCTAAACGAATGGCTCCGTACGACCGTACGACCGTCCACATGCGTGTGCTGTATTCAATCGACTGTGTGGTGAGTCGTGGGTGGAGCTGCGTGGTGGTGTTGTACGGCACTAACCCCGTCCTGAAACCCCGGTTAGCCACCCTCCTTTCCCTTCCTCCCCGGCCCCCAAAGGCAGCATCTCGACCGTACAAAACCGCCGCTTTCTCCTCCTTTCCGTGCACACGTACACACATACACACATACGTACGTTCACAAGCACAACCTCTCAACCGTGCCTAGCCACACAAACATACATACATACATACAGGCGGCTGGCAGAGGTTAAGGCCTGACTTCTGCTCCCAGTCGACCCAGTCGACCCGGGTTCAAATCCGCCTGCCGGCTCCTCGGGTGTTTGAGGAGTGATGTAATGGGAGGTGGCCCCCCATCATATGGACGGTGTAGGACGTGATAATATCAACTTGCGAGCTGACCAGGAACTAAGTTGATGCGCTGTTGATCCGCTAGATTTGGTTGGATGCTGGTGGTGAGTTGCCGAACCCAACGAATACATTCTGAAGTCGGATGGGGTGACGGATTAGGGTGCCCCTCTAGCAGGGGAGAGCAGGGACTGCCCCGGGAAAGGGGGCCGCTGGCGAAGTTAACCACCCTGTAACAACATACATACATATATATGCGTACATACATACATACATACAGACCTACATACCCTACCTGATGTTTGCCGGTTCGTTCCTGCCCTTCACCTGACACGACGGATCGTGTTTTTTCCGGTCCCGGGCTCCCCCCGGCCCCGACAGGGACGAGGGGGACAGGTACTTGCGACTCGCGTGGGTGGGTCGGATCTCACACCTGCCGTACGGATGTCCGTACATACATGTTGGTACATGCACGTGAAAACACGCATATGCAGGAGGTGGGGCAGTTGTAACTCGTGCGGGCAGGGGACCCCGCTCAGAGCAGACGACAGCTGATACGGACGAGATCCAACACTTGAACGATCACGTGTACGACACTCCACATCCCACAAAAATAGGGAGTTCGCGTGAGGGTGTGCACACACACAGACACGTGTGTGTGTATGTGTGCATGTGTTGGCAAAGCGATGTGCGCGCCGGTTCCGGCTGCAAATTTCTTCCTCACGAACTCCCTTTTCACTCCACACACACACAGACACACAGACACACACACACACAAACACACACACACACACAGAGACACACACACACATCTACACAGGCGCACATACACACCCGCACTCTCCCCTCCCCATCCCCTCCCTTTCCCCCTCTTCCCCCCCCTCCCCCCCACCCACCAGGGGCAGTCAGTTTCAATCATGATCCTGTCCGGGGGCAGGTCGCTCACCACAGCCAGGTTGTCCGCCGTCTTGAGGGAGCAGCCGTTGAGACCTTGGCGGGCGGTTGGGGCAGAGTGTTGGGGCTTTCAGACGTCGGGGCTGGGGGGGGGGCAGCCCTGTGGGCGACAGCAATCAAACCACTCCAACCGCCGCCAACCGCCAATCGCTGGGTTCTCGTCCGTGCCGCAATTTTCCGTTGATTTCCTGGGCCATCAACCCCTGCGACACCTCTTCCAGCCTCCCTGGACAACCCTAACCCTACTTCACCCCTCCCTCCTCCCCCCTCCCCCGACCCCTCCCCCGACCCCCTACCGAACCCAACATAACGTCCCAAGACCAACCACGACCCAAAAGAAATGAACAGAAAAACCCTAACCCTAAAATTCCTCTCCTCCCCCAAAATATTAGAACCCGGAACTGCGGAACCCCCCCCCCACACACACACACACATACACACACACACCTACGCCCAGCTGGGGGAGCTCCAAAATGCGCCGACACTCATCAGCAGTGCCGTCAAAAGAATGTACGACACCTCCCCGGGGGAAGTCCGCCACGTGTCGCCGTACAATCTCCAGAAAATCCTCCGCGGCGGCCCGGAGGTGAAGAAACCTGCACCCCCGACAAAAACACACACATACATACATACATTATCGGCGTGTACACCCATACCCACGGATGGGGTCTTCTTTCCTTGCACGAACAGACGTACAAACAGACGCCACCCGTACACGTCCCGCTTCCAACCGCCCCTCCCCAGTCCCTTCCTCCCCGTCCAGCCGCCCCCAGAAAGTCGCCTCCCCACCCGCTTGATGTTCCCTCTCCAGCCCCGCCCGCCTCACCCCCCCACACACAAACCCCCTCTTCCCCCCCTCCCCTTCCCTG